TTAACATTGTTTACAGACCTGCACTGATGATGATTTTTAGAGGAAATATCTTAGATGCTACAGTATTTGTATTGTGCTGCCCATGGTGCCGTCCAAACCAGTAATGCATCGTACGGCTGGCAGCTGACACACACACACACAAGGCAAAACTATAGTTTACACGTCGCTTTGTAAACCACCAGTCAACATTGATTTTCTTTCTGTTGACAAGAATTAAATGCCCTTGCATGACTAATTATTGTGATAGATCCAGTATGCAGGTAATGATATTAACAATACTAAAGACGAGAAGCAACACAAACGAATACATTAACAACAACTACTGCTACTTCTAATAATAATAATATCCTGTACGTACATATGATAAACAATAATAAAGTAACAAAAGGTAGGAGGCGACTAACCGCGAAAGTCTCACAACAGTATTATTGTTAACGTAGAACCTGGAAGATTATTTGATGTATTCGTCCCCAGTGGAGGTCAAAATGATGATGTTCATCTATTAGGTCCTCTTATACATAAACTCAGTTTTGCCATGTAACCCTGAACTTTGACCAATGACCTTGTGTTCCGTATCTGACCTTTACTCTGAGCGGAAGGTAAAATAAGCGCTGCCCACATTCTCCCGCGCGGCCTTGTGGTTGAATCCCAATATACTGGAAATAAGCTTCTGGTGACTGTTAGGTTGCCTTCCCATGTGCTTCTAGAATAAGTAGCATTAAATAGGCGCCAATATTTTAATAAACAACACAGCAGTACATCTAACCATAAGAGAAAGTCGATATTCGCCTATTTAATAATATAATTACTACTTTAACTACTTGCCATGACCACCCACAACACGAGCCACCACCTGTCACTTTAAGTGGGCCCCATAGGCATGACTAACCATAATATATGACAATGAAAGGAGTCCCGTAGTGACATAGAATCACTTAGACAAAGCTGTTTTCGATAAACAACGGAGCAGTATGGCCGGCACTGCATTCGACTTCCTCAACTTGAAAGTTAGATATCCATTACCAGTTTGGTCAAGTAGAGATGCCCTGATGGGTGAACCTACGGCCAACCAGCGAACTCTGTCACCAACCTACTGCTTTACTCGCCAGCAAAACACTATAATAATAATTCTGTACCAACAACGATATAAAAGTCTAATAATAATAGACTTGTACTACTACTATAATATATGCACGTGACTTGCAATAGTAATAAGCTGTGAATTATTATTTGTACTTTCTAATAATTCTATCTCACTTATATACTGGCTAAGGTGTTTGAAATATCCTGCATCTATTTTTGTATCAAAATTTGTACTCGTTCCAAAATATCTGATTAAAGTTGTTAACAGATACAGTACAGCAACACCAGTGTGGACAGTTTAGTTCACCCTGAGCAAGCACAAAGAACTCTTTCAGGTATTTGTGTGTACATCAACTGCGGATCAGTGAAGAGCTCTCGTGAAGGCTAGTCGAAGGCGTAACTAATAACACAGACTGTTCTGTGTCGCAGGATGTGAGTCAAATATGATAGCCCGGTCATTACTTGGTTGCACCCTGGGGACGCGTCTTTTATCACGTGAGTCAGCCACACAACACTGGCCAGATCACTCTACAGCAGTATGTGGTGGCAACACACACCTTATGTATAAATGCATATACAAATATATAGTCAATCTGGTTAACATTTCTGTTTTTTATGACAAATATATATTAGTCGTGAATGTCATGTGAGAGGTGCATGACGACACCCCGTGCACGACATCTGGCCGTGAGCCACTCTTGTTAGTCATGTTTGTCCCTGAAGCCACAATTTGGGCAAAATTTCCCCAACTGAACTTCTTTCTTATTCAGGCCAGTTTCTCTGTTTTTCCGGTTTGTACTGTAATGTACAGTATACCGGGGAGCCACTCACCCCGTCCAATTATATAAAAAGTAAATAATGTTACTGGAAAGAAGTTAAAGAACTGACCACACAGATAATGAAACACTTGCACGATCTAAATAACAGCTTTAAGACTTTCTAGGCTAATATTGAAAACGCATCCGTCGCCGAGTAATGTGTTTTGGTGGATCTTTTCTTAGCAACAGTATTTATATGTTTCATCGCTGAGTTCGGATAGGATGTTCACTTCTTGGTAAAAAGCTTCCTTTGGTAAATAATTAGATCCCTAACAGTTCCTCAACATTTACAGGCCGTATATTGTCAAGGCGCACTAATGCTTCATAACAATTGCTTGTTCATTTATTTCCCAAGATTTAACATAAAGTATCCAAATTTATCATAGCGTCAATAACAAATAAGATACAAACTTGATATATTACAAACAAGATGTTGAAAGAATCACAGTGCTGCAGTTTAGTGTCGTGAAGGTATAGCAACGTTAAGTCTTATCACAAGTGCATTCAGAAAAGTACTCAAAAGTTCCTAAGATGAATGTCCTCGTAAATGAAGATGTTAAAATGCACCTAACTAAAGTTGACGACAAAAATATCAACAAATTACGCTGTGGTTGCCTTAATTAAATACATTCACGGTGAAGCAGTTAAAACGCAAAATTAAGATTGTACACCATCTTCCTCCATGGACGGGACCCCAGCGTAGAATACGGTAGGTTCTCATTCCACAACATATGTATATTCGTTATTATGATTTTTCTAGAATTATAATTATATTTAGAAGACAACTGATATCAGTAACAATGAAATTAAACCGTGTAGGCCTGTCTATATTACAGACAACTTTCACAAGAACTATCAGTAACGCCCGTCAAAGAATTCCGAGTAACAGCTGGCTCCTGGCCGCCTTCCCTTACTACAATAGTAAACGATCGTTATCGACGGCCTAGTGTAGTTCAGGCCTGGAGCAGTTTTCCTGAACGTCCGCCACCAAACTTGTGCCGCTGAGAAACAAACATCAGGCACAGAAAACAACATTAAGCTGACCTAAGTGGAAATACAAGGTGGTCCCCTGCACTTAATGATATCCCCAGGTGTGGCCTCCACAGTTAATTTCCGGAGAAAAAGAGAATGTGGTATCCACCTTAATTGACACAGGTAGCGTCACACAGGTCAACATATAAAACTGTTCACACTATCACCAAACTTGGTCACAAAGGCTATGATACAACACAATATTATTCTAAACGTTCTTATCACAGTAAGTTTTCAACGAAGACGTCAATCATAGCCACACGTTCATAATACCAAAACAACGAAGAACAATGGTACACCCTGACGTTGTAACGTTTTGTGGGTCCGGTGAACACGTGCCAAACATTCCGACACTATAATGTTATCACTCCGTTCGGTACTTTATTTACCCCGTTACCACAGTACAGTTTGTAATGGCTGCCTGAGAGACACTTGCTATTGTATGAAGGAAACTAGTGTGGGGCACTTACCTCGCACTACACAGTGAAGCAGCGCGTCCTGCAGCACAACCCGTCTCCACCACAAGCACAGCCACACTGACTGACTACTGTTGTGTTGACTCACGTCTCGCAGTCTAGTCTCGTACTTACGGCTGTATAACGCCTTGGCCCCTCCCTCCCTGCCAGCTAGCCAACCAGGGGGTTACGCCTCATTTACTGTCCATAACGCTACACTGACATCACACACTATACCACTGTGACATCACACGCACTACCACTGTGACATCACACGCACTACCACTGTGACATCATACTCTACCACTGTGACATCACACTCTACCACTGTGACATCACACACTATACCACTGTGACATCACAATCTACCACTGTGACATCACGCACACTACCACTGTGACATCACACACTCTTTCACTGACATCACACACTATACCACTGACATCACACACTCTTTCACTGACATCACACACTATACCACTGTGACATCACACTCTTCCACTGACATCACACACTATACCACTGTGACATCACACACACTACCACTGTGACATCACACACTCTACCACTGTGACATCAAGAACTCTACCACTGTGACATCACACTCTACCATCGTGACATCACACTCTACTACTGACATCACACTCTACCATTGTCCTTACATTGTGACATCACACACTCCACCATTGTCCTCACACTGTGACATCACACACTCCACCATTGTCCTCACACTGTGACATCACACACTCCACCATTGTCCTCACACTGTGACATCACACACTCCACCATTGTGACATCACACACTCCACCATTGTCCTCACACTGTGACATCACACACATCCACCATTGTCCTCACACTGTGACATCACACACTCCACCATTGTCTTCACACTGACATCACACACTCCACCATTGTCCTCACACTGACATCACACACACTCCACCATTGTCCTCACACTGTGACATCACACACTCCACCATTGTCTTCACACTGACATCACACACTCCACCATTGTCCTCACACTGTGACATCACACACTCCACCATTGTCCTCACACTGTGACATCACACACTCCACCATTGTCCTCACAGACATCACACACTCCACCATTGTCCTCACACTGTGACATCACACACTCCACCATTGTCTTCACACTGACATCACACACTCCACCATTGTCCTCACACTGTGACATCAAACACTACCAGCTGTGCAACACACATGGGTGTGAGGTTTGGACTCAACATTTAATACACTGTACAGTATATGTGTTGATTTTTACAAGTGTTTCCTTCCAGGTGAGAAGAGTGAAGTAGTTCATCACTGAGTACACAAACGCCCTTTATTGACTGTATCTTGTCGAGTTTTTTATATTCTTTGGAACATGTTATACAGTAGATAGAACAGTGCCCATCACAATGTTCTTGTCTTAACCCTCACACCACACTTACTGTACATGATACAGGTCATCTCTTTCTGACTGGTTGTGGTTGTACGACCAAATTTGTGTACTGTACTGTATCACTACACGTTAGGAACCCAGATCCTTTTTAGTAAATCCTCTTAACAATTTCTATTTCAAGCAATAAAGTTATAAAAAACACAAACCAATATACTGTATCCATTTTATATACAAAAATCTACAATACTCATCATTAAAAAATATGTTTGTGAATCTGCCAGAAGGATATCAAATCAAAATATATCTTATTGAAACATCTAGAGCCAGGGAAGAGTAGATGAAGAATGGACTGAACACTGACTGGAGGGAGAAAGTAGTGATAAAAGGCTTCAATGTGCAGTTCGGTTAACAGTTGAGGTAACAGCCTAGGAAAGGGTTGGGACACTTGAGTTATGATTTTGAAATGGAGATGTGGGCAGGAGACTGTGATAGGTCAGGAAGAAGTAATGAACAGTTACCAGTACATTTATACTGCCAACAGAATAAATGTAATAAAAACAAATAAAAATGGTAAATAATTCAAACATCTTTCTTGTTGTCAGAAGTGTGGTTTGTACTAGATTAGTCACTGTATGTACTGCTTAATGTGAACTAAATAGCTTATTTTTTTTAATAGTCTCTGCAGTATCCAATTGATCCATCTGACTTCGACATTGTTAACCAACTAATATAGTTTTTGTCTTGTTTATTCTGGGGCTTGAGAGGTGGCCAAATGTAGAATGTGGCAGCCTGGTTGACCGAGCATTAGATGAGACGACCAAATGCAGGATGGGATGACAGCCACATGTACAATAGGGTAACTGCACACTTATGGCCATATAGAATATGATGTAGTAGCCATAACTGGAGTCTCACTGAACTTTTGAGCCACTCATTGATCCACACTTTTTAATGTCAAAGATTAGTTATCAGTTTAAAATATTCAGATGAAAATAACACAATTCCCTCCACCAACACTGAGAGCTACTCAGTCCATTATGATCTTAAAGAACAACTAGAGTACAAAGGAAAACACATTTTCTAAGTTTAAAGTCTTGTATCAATAATGGACTTGCATGACAAAACCATCAGAGACATAACTACAGTACTGTAATCTTTTAAAGCCTAAAATAAGGGGCAAGCTGAGGATAAAATCAAAGACTTGGCCAAGTGCTGTAAACTTGCCAAAGGAGAAGACAATAGCATTTTATTGTAAAATATCTTGTACGTAATTTTAAACTACAATCATTAAAGATATCCACCAACTAGTTACCGGTACTTAAATTAAGACAAGTACTACAATGGTTTTGAGGACAATAGTTCTACCTTCAATGGCAACTAAACAATTCTTAGATGAAGTGTATGAGATGACAATGAAAACTCAAGAGCAAGAGTGCAGTAATTTCTTAAGATGCCCTAAAACTACTGGATATGATCACTAACTTATTCTGCAAACAAAACAGTGCTTCCAGAATTGTTGCTGTCTGAAGTGTCTTCCGGAGTTGAACGATCAGAAACTTGGCCTCCAAACGTTAAATACAGAACTTGTGGGAAGGGTACAACTTTCATATCAACTGCCATATCTTGCATTATATCAGCCAGACTCAAACTAGGTGTTGCTCCATCTGAAAATATAAATTAATTACGAGTATGTGTTCACTTATACACAATATGATTTAACTGTGCCTCTGCCTACAATAACCTAACCCTGCCAAAAGTTCTGATGCTGTTTATAGAAATGTGTAAAGATATTGAAGAATTACCACACTTACTGAATGAGCTACAGATGTATTGACACATTATTTCACCATTATAAAACTTGGTCCAGGGACATAATAGATAAATAATTACATACCTATATAAACATAACTTCACTCAGACCTAATACATGTATAAGTATAGCACTGTTTAATGACATCATGAGCGTTAAGTTGTATGATGCATGTTTAATATATGTATGGTACTGTATATATTTTATGCATGATATATGACACACACCATTCATTTTTACTAAAACCTTTTCTTTCGTTACTGTCTCTTCTTCCAACTAAGACACTCACTCTACCTGGCACTCATGAGATAATGATGATGACACAGTATTAATAATAATAGGAGATGCACCACTTCTCCATATGACTGTTGTCTTTACAGGGAGAGAAGAGTGACCATCAAATAAATTTCTTAAAATACCAAGAACTATGACAGAACCCTCAAGCACTACTGTACTATAGCACCAGCAGCTGCTATAAAAAGTACCATGACTAGGATTTTTGTTTACTAAATGATCAATAAGGTCAAATGCCCCTTATACATAAAAAAGCCATAAGCAGCTTCTTGAAAGTCTCAACTGAGTCCAGCTGCTTCAGGTAGACATAACTAACTGTATAATGGAGGCATTGGGTGTGAAAAAGATCCAACAGCAAGAGAACACGACACACAAGAAGGCAACATGAATCACCACCACCACACTTGAGCTAACAAGCAGAGGTAAGAGAAGTTCATCCAAGTATTGTGTCAGCCAAGTTCACAGATCAAAGTGAGTCTTGTTAGATGATACAGTACTGTAGGGTAAAGTGAAGGTAAGAATTATTGTGGTGGGTCACAGTCGAGTCAAGAAAATACTAACAACAACAGTCAGCTCTGCAACTGTTAAGAGTCATGGGATCAATACTTGCTGAGCCACCATGTACTGTACTGTATCACAGTAGGTGAAGGTTTAAAAGAATAAATAAATAACATTAAAACCAGAGTCAGCTTCTGCATCTCAATTTGTGGACATGTTAGGAAGATAAAAATAGTTTTAGTAAGCACTAACCTATATGACTGGCTTTTACTCTGTATGGGAGGATGTCTCGAGGATAAAAGTCAAGGGTGAACTCATACGTTATTTCCTCATCCTCATTCTGTAAAAGAGACAAAGAATTAAAACACAAAAATGTACTGAAACTTTTATATACTAAAAGCTGGCTAACACTTGAGTGTATGAAGAAGCCAACAACAAAGACACAACTGTGAACCTTAAGTGTCACTGATGGTGTGCAGTACAGTATACTGTACTGTACAGTACTTTACACACAAGTGAGTGAAAAACTACATTAACCTTATCTATACTTTGTAGTTATGAGCAATCATTAAGGATCACCAGAAGATTAGGCACCCCAGCACACCTAGCCAGATGACTAATCACCCTAATGCCACCTTGGGGGTGGGGTGGGGGTTGGGCTAGATGAGTGTATATAATCATCTGGAGAATTTTGCTAAGGTGCCTCATTCTATCCAAACTAAGATTAATACCAAGATCAGTTTCTGTTCTAGAGAAGGCATCAAAGTCTCCTGAATGAATACTGTACTGTACACTTATGTGAAGTAACATACTGTATGACTTAACAGTATGGGAACACTGTACAGTACCTTTACTTCCACCATGAAGGAGAGGAAGGTACATCCCTGGTTGTGGTACACCTGCATCTTGTTCAGGAACTCTGCTTTCTGTTAAGGCAAGTCAAAATTTTTAGCTGCAACCATCACTTATTGAGAGACAGGGTTAAGATACTTCATTCTATACATACTGTGCTGTATACATATATTTTTTGTCTAATTCTGGGAGTGAATGAAACAAGAATGACCAAAAACTATTCATACCACAGGTCTTGGCTGCTTGTCAAAAAGCTCTCTTGACAAAATTGATCAGGAATCACACAAATAAATGCTGAACATCCACCCCAGAGAAAAAGTACTGTTCTAAATAATGCCAGCAACACAAAGGTTTGGTTTAAATAAAATAAGCATGATACAGAACCATGTTTCCTAATACTGCACAACTGGAAAATATAAACTGTTGTACTGTACAGTACTGTACCACATACAAGTACAGTCCACAATCAAACTTGCTAGAGGGCTGATGATGATGTATCTCTAATTAGATTATTTTTTGGTGAAAATTTAGATACAGTATATTTAATAGTACAGTATATACAAGTTTACAGGCAAAAAAGATATAGAATTTGATATATATTGAGTCAACATGAGCAACAATATATTTCCTCTGACAGTGTTGTTACATTTCTCGAGCACTACAAGTACTGTGCACTGAATACCTTCAAATACAAATTTTGCCACAAACCAAGCAGAGTGGAAGACTTACCCTAAGATAACCTCATAGATCTACACCTAAGCTTAGACTGATGCAAAAACAGCCAGAGTCCACAAGCTGTACTGTATCTGAACTGCTGGAAACAAATGTCCCAAAAACCTAGTATGTTCCCAAGAAGACAAAGAGATGCAACCAAAATTTCACCTCCCCAGTGTATGTGTGAACTGTACAGTACGCAACTGAGTCCGGGGACAGTAACCCTTCAGTCTAACACATACTATACCTGCAAAGTAACAATTTGATCTTGGCGTAAATACAGGGCATTTGTGTACTGAGTGATGGCTGTGATGAACTTCTTCACACCTTCATTCTTCTCACCTGCAAGGAAACACTTGTAAAAATCAACACATATACTGTACAGTGTATTTAATTTTGAGTCCAAACCTCACACACCCAAGGATGAACTGTTTACTCTGGTGAATACTGTACTTGAGTGCAAAACAGTACACCATTTATTTGTGTAAATTGTAGAGATACAAGAAATGTAGAATGATCAGTTACTCCATGTTCCTGTACCAGTGTTTAATTTTTATTTTTAAATGTTTCTAAACTGGATCTTTTCTTTACTGCTAGTAATAGTCTCAACATCCGCTAGTACTACAGTATTCTTCATTAACATCTTTCATCCTGGCTCCTATACTGTCTGTCCAACTATTTAGGTGAAATTAAATGACACTATTTAGTTGTAAAACCATTCTTCATGAGTGGACTTTATACTGTATACACTAGTACTATATACTGTATGAACAATAAAGGAGCAACTTTCACCATTCTTCAGGTACTCCTCCTCACATCCAGCAACTGCCACAGTGTCTGGCATGTTGTGATGACCAACTCTGGAGAAAACAAAAGTTTAATAATAATGTATATTGTATATGTAAAATGTATACAGTTAACCCTCACTTTACGCGGTCCCACATTCCGCGTTTCCACGTTTACGCGGTGCCCTGCCGGAACCCAGGATGCTCACATTCCGCGGTGCGTGTACCCCTTTACGCGGAGAGCGGCTGGCGAGCCGAGCCATTTTTGGATCCAAACCTCCCGCCATCCGCCATGTTGTGTAAGCGGCGCGAACATGGTGCGCACAAGGTCGCCCAGTCATCAAAACATTACCAGTTCTTCACCCGCCACCCACCACAGCCGGCCCAAGTCAGTGATAGTGATAATTATGGTGAGGATATGGACTTATATGGACTTTGGGGAGTTTGACAAAGAGGCCCTGCAAGCCTCTGTGGTGGATAGTGATACAATTGATACAAGTGACACAGGTGAGGGCCAATAATCTGCCCTCTGCCTCGGAACCAACCGCCCATCCCCGTGTGCCCAGCCATTTTTTCTACTAATGTAAGTGTTAAAAAACCTAATATTATTGATATTTCTCTTAATTATTAATTGTGTGTGCATACCATCATAAAGTTAAGATAATATTTTTACTACAACATAGTTGTGTGTCGTCAAAAAGTGGAGTTTGGGGATCGGCCCGGACTCCATTTCAATTAATCCCATATGTTATGTTATTCACTTTACGCGTTTCTCACTTTACGCGGGACCCTCCGGGTTACATTAACCGCGTAAAGTGAGGGTTAACTGTAGATGTGTCTTGTTAGGTTTATTCATAAAATAAACTATCCACTTGAACAGTTCACACAAATAACTTCCCTCACTGGACACCAACACAACTGAGCACTCACCTGTAAGTGTTGTCAGCACCTTTAGTGAGTAATATTAAAAGCGTCGAGTATTGAGACTTGAAGGAAGGTCGTAAAAATTTCAGCAGCAGATTTCCTTCAGCTGTCATGTACGCTGCAGTGGTCTCTGGCAGAAGGAATGCACTATATTAGGGAACAGTGTTAGAGAACAGACTTCTAATAACTTACAGCACGGCAAACCAACAGTGACTTTGGAGAGGAGAATATCCCTGTAATAAAAAGACAAAAAAAGGTGTGATGAATTTTATTATTTACTTTGTTTGTGTAATAAGAGAAGAGGTTACTAATATGTGAGTTTTAGGCTGTAATATAAGACAGGGTCCACAAGGAGTATTTTTTATTTAGGAAATGTTTTATTTCTCTTTTACTACCTAGTGTTTTATATACAGTAGCTAAAAAAGGTATCTGACAGGGTGGGTCTGATGACTTCCAAAAATTATACGTACAACTCGTGATGTCTCGGGAGGGTTGGTATGCCTGTCTTCACCCACTGCCACTCAGTATCCAACATGGGATGAGTTGTCATATAGGAATAAAATAAATGGTTAAGAGATTACTATCACACAGTATAAGGAGACAACACACATATCCCAATACCTATCGTCTGTGGTCTCATATTGTTCCACACAGAGTATGCACAGATACTATTTTTTAGCTACTGTACAGTACTGTGTATACTGGTATATTAAGGACATACTGTATCTTATACCTGTATATTGTACAGCACAGTACAGTATATGATTGGTGTACTGTTTACTGTACTCATACAATATATGCTGAACATGCCCCCATGGTTGCCCTCATGTAATATGATCATTAAGCACACTAATGCTACACCCCCAGCCTAAGGAGTTTACTCATCAGTTGAAATAAGTTGGGACTTATCTTTAAACAATCTGAGAAATATCATCATATACAACTGACTGATGACAGAATGTGATGTACAGTATAGCCAGGAATGAGAAAGTAGTACATGACATTATTACCATGGAAGGAGTAAGCCTGCAACTGGGTAGACAGTTGACAGTACTCCTTTAAGATGCCTTGGTGCTCTATGGTCATGGGCGCAGTGGAGGGGAGGGACAACATGAGGTCCTCAAGTTCAGTACTTGATGAGGTCTCCAGTATTTGAAGCCACTCATCAGCCTCCAAAGCACTCTTCTCTATTTCATTCTTAAGGTCTTCTTTTACTTGCATTAAATGTCTGGAAGTAGGTAATATATAAAAACAAATGTACTATAATTATATAATTCTCGGTATAAATACATCTGCAATGGGTTGATGGGGACGGCTCCAGGTACCAGAATAAATACACATCAATAAAGCCTTAATAAGAAGGTAATGAAGGTAGTTGCAGATAATACATTAGCTGAAATGATAAGAGTGGCCAAGGTTAAGCCAAAACCCCTCATTATCTCTTTATTCAATGGAAGGATGAACACAGATCTGTTTGGGTCAATATATTAGATGGAATTCTGATGGGGGAAGAAGGAAGATACAAGTGTCAAATGAAGAAAACAATGTACAGAAACTCCATTTGAAAGATTAGGGTCTGACACAATACGTCCTCCTGGAAGATACGTAACTAGAGCCTTAACGATAGTGGACAACACAAACCAACTAAACTGAACCTAACTTAACCTACCTTAATGATATCAGGTTATTCAATGATCAGGTTAAGTTATTAAGGTCAAAAAAGTAATAATTAATAAGATAGCAGTCCCCATCTTAACCTACATCATAAGATACACCCATGGAGTCATCTCAAGATTAGCCCCAGCTTATTTCACCTTAAAATTAACCAATAATGTTAACCTAATACCTCCTAGGCAACACCAAGGTGTTAATCATCAGGTGAAATAAGCTGGGGTGGCAAATCTTCAGGTGTTCCCCAACATATAGGTACAGTAGAGTGCAGTAAGTAAGCCACAGTACCATACCTCAGCCTTGCCATGCGGTCATCATCGTCCATGAGGAACGCGGTGTCATTAGAAATCTTCCCCGAGGGCAGCTTCAGCAGACGAGCCTCCATCATTACTGCCCTTACAATTTTTCACAATGTCTAAATCTGAAAATTAAACACCAAAACGACCATAAGTACAGACCTTCTGATATCCCAAAAATTAAAAGAATAAAACATGTGTACTGCCAGGTAAAAATACATTAGTGTTCAACATGAAAAAATTACCAAAATAGGCTTAGGAAAACTGTACTGCATATCCTCGTCGCCTTAGGGGAGATGTAATCAGTATTTGAGGTAAGAAAGACATAATATAATGGAGAAAACAATTTGTAAGTTGCTAGTACCACAGACCCTTGTTCCAGAGTATTACCGCCCCATGAAATTCAAAGTTCCCTTCTAACCCCTTCAGTACGGGACACAACTTTTAATATTCTATCAATCCGACGACACAATTTTATTCATCAGAGTCCGTACACAAGGGGGTAAGTGAAAAATGTTATACTTTATGACAGTTGCACAAGTTAACCAACAACTTGAAGAGAGTTATATATATATATTAAAGACATATTCTTATCTACAGCCCCAACATGGAAAGGTACAAGTTTCCGTCCCGCATATGTAAACAACAGCACACTACAACTTACCAGCTATTGCTACAATATATGAATCATTGGACACAAAATTAACAAACCTAACCTAACCTAACCTAACCAACCAACCACCCTAGTGCTATTTGGGGGTTAGATTAACATAGTGATTGGTCTTTATCAGGTGATCCTCTACATCTTGAGTGACGTGTTGTGTGCACCTCAACTGTCTGTGTGAGTGACGTATTGTGTGCACCTCAACTGTCTGTGTGAGTGACGTGTTGTGTGCACCTCAACTGTCTATGTGAGTGACGTATTGTGTGCACCTCAACTGTCTATGTGAGTGACGTATTGTGTGCACCTCAACTGTCTATGTGAGTAACGTATTGTGTGCACCTCAACTGTCTATGTGAGTAACGTATTGTGTGCACCTCAACTGTCTATGTATATCATGACTCACTATAAATATGCATCACGATTTTACTGATCAAATAACTATCTAACTATCTATCTAACTATCTATCTAACTACCTAACTGTCTATCTAACTACCCACCTGTCTCCTCCTCACTACTATATGTAAACAGTTGAATTAGACGGTAAACAAGAGAGCATTGTCCTGCGTCTCCTCTTATTTCCTCTTATTTCCTCATTTATTAGGCCTAAATACATAGATTTTTGTAGTAATATTATTTTATTTGTTTTATATTTCTTCCTTATAGTATTTGCTGTTTATAATGGACCACTTGTGTTTAGTGTTTGCTGTTTATAATAGATCACTTGTGTTTAGTGTTTGCTGTTTATAATGACCATAGTGGTTACTGCTTTTATGGACTTTTTTTGTAGAATGTTTGTTACTTATATTATCTTTTCTGTTGTGTGTTTGGTGCTTACAATACACTGGTAAAATCCAATGGTCTTTAATTTATTGTTCCTGTAATGTTGATTTTCCTGCTTAAATACAGAACTCATTCATGCAATTTCCAAACTGGAGATTTTTTGTTGGTATTATTTTCTTGTGGTAGTTAAGGAAAAAAGAATAAGTTACCAAAATAGTATATTGGTGTGTGGAAAATCCTGCCCAAAAAGTTCACTGTATTACATGGTAGAAATTATGAGAAAAAGTTGTCTTCAGTATAATCATGATGGAGCTACAGTAACATGTTATAAAACTCTCAATGGTCATCATTGCCATTTTAGTTCGTCTTTATACTTGAATATTTGAGTACAGTACAGTACAGTACAGTACAGTACTTTTTTACTTTTAACCTCTTCACCACTGATCGGCTTGTAAGCTGATTGGGCAATTGGTCATGTACTGGGCATGCACCGGCTCCTGAATGTATCTGAACCTGCTCCAGTGTTGGTCAAGTCTGGTCTTGAAACAGCTCACACTCAGTGCCGTCACAACACTTTCTGGCAGATTGTTCCAAGAGTTTACAACTCTCACCAAAAAACTTACACCTCACAGTTTTCTGGGCTTGTGGCTTCTTCAACCTTGAGCTGTGACCCCTTGTGGGGGGGACGTCCGCCAGCTCCAGTTATAGACACTCGACTGAGTAGTGCCCTTTGAGATGTTTATATACCCCAATTAGGTTCCCCCTTGCCAGTCTGTAGTTTAAGCTAGGCAATTTCAGGCGCTCCAATCTCTCAGGGTAGCTGAGGTGTCGTAGTGCAGGCACCAGTCTGGTGGCCCTCCTTTGGACATTTTCAAGCAACTGACAGTCCCTAGCATATCTCGGGGACCAGACGGGGTGACAGTACTCCAGACGGGGAAGCACTTCACTCTTGAAGATCATTACGAGGGACGGACCGTCTAGATATCTGAACGACCGTCTTATAAGACCTAATAATTTAGTTGCCTGATTCACCTTCTTCTCACAATGACCCAAGAACTTCAGCTCATTGTCAACATACACACCTGGGTCCTTTTTGCATTCAGTCTCAATTATTGCAGTTACTTATAGTACAGTACAGTACAGTACAGTACAGTGCTGTACAAGGGAAAGTTACTGTGTTCTTTTTCCAAAGACTTTGTATTACATAACTTGTGCATACAGCATAATTATATACAGCACAATACTGTATAGAAAATATAAATTAGTTTGTAGTTTGTTATACTGTACTGTGCTTCTATAAGAAGATTAAACTGAGAAAAAGTTATCAGTGTTATTTACTTCATTTTACTTTAAAGTACTGTATGTACAACATAAGTCTTTCTTAATATTATCACAAGTAATGAAAACTTCTCTAAAAGAAAAGAAAAATCTTTATCTCACTTTCAACATACGTACAGTATTTTTACAACATATGTAAACATTAATTAATGTTCTATTTGCAGCTAGTATACCAGTAATATTTTCAATACTGCAAAACATAACAAAATCTATTTACAAAATGGCTTTCTACATTATTACAAGAGACATACACTATAAACACAGCACTATACATGTTACAGTGACATAGTACATTACATTTGCTATACTATTACAAGGAATCATAAATCTGTTAACTACAGTACAGTACAAGTGTCCCCCTCTGTTGTCACATCATCACTAAAAACATTAAACAACTACATAAGACTCAGGACTACCTAATACTGTACATGAACCTCACTCATATAAACACCATTAGATCACCTCAAGATCACTTACCCAAGCTTATCTCACCTAAAGATTAACTTCCTTCATATACCTGGGGGAGGGTTAGGTAAGTATTGGGTTACATTGGCTTAGATAAGTATTAGATTAGTGTTAGGTTAAGTTAGCATTGGTTAGGTTAGTGTTTGGTTACATTAGGTTGGATTATCTTCAGGTGATATCATTAATTACTGTATACAACTTGAAAATCTAACCAGAAATACAAAGATACTTACAGTACTAAAATACAGTACATGTACTTTTTTGTTCTACTATAAATGAATTTTGTATTATCCTACAGATAAAAATTGGACAGACAGACACACACTCAGAGACCTACAGACAGATATATACAGTACACAGTAGACCCTAAACTGTACTGTATATGTACCAAGGGCAAAAAGATGATCCTGTACAGTACTCTTGTATGGGTGCACTTGGCTGGCTTAGTACAGTACCCCATCACTAATACTAAACAGTAAATCCAAACAAACTACTGTTAGACTAAAATCAGTAACAATAGGTAAACAACAAAGAAATAATAGTTGTTGTTTGAATGAATGAATACATGAATAGATAAACAACATGGTAAGTTATAACAATAAACAATGGATAATTTTAATAAGAAAAAGTTAAATAATATTAATTCAGGAGGTAATGAATGATATATTTACTGTACATCATAATGACATGACAATAAATGAGGCACTATTAATTTTAATGAAAAGGGAATAATAATTTAATAGCAATAGAATTTGGACACTAATGAATAGATGAATAATATTATACGTAAATGATGATGGTATAAGGCAGCCTGGTGGTGGTGTTCATGAACGTGCACTGTTGGCTCTTGTTCATTTACACTGTACTCGTATACTGTACAGCAAAGGTCTTTAGTCTTCAATATTACAATCTAGTATCATTTAGCCTCATAAAAGAGCATGTGAGCATCTGGGTTGAAGAAAACATCCTGGGTGTTGGCTCTACTGAACTGGGCATCACTGAAGTAGTACCAACCCTTACTGGTGGATGATTTAATCTTGCAGAAGGCTGTGTAGTGGCCAGAGGTCATGGAGCCTTGGTGACCACACACGGCATACAGGTTGTAAGATGGACTGTCGGGAATTGGAAATAAATGAAGGAAAACATTCGAATGACCCGAGAGAACCTATTGTATGCCTCCTGTCGGCTGGATAAAAATTTATATAAGAATGTTAAATGAATCAGTTGTCATAATGGATAGTTAACCTACAATGATGGCTAATTAAATCCAAGATATCTGTATAAACCTCATAGAATAAATCACTGGATATATTAACACAGTAGCTCCCATATAACTAACAACAGATGAGGAGTTGTTGATATTAAACATTGCATTATATATGAACTGTACTGTACAGTTTGGCCATCTACCAGAAACTGTGATGAAAAACTTTGATCAATCACATTCTTATTTTGAATACATCAGTACTTAAGGTCCCTAATATTATATGATCATTAATATCAGGCCATCCACACTGGGCCATGACCTTAATATGAGGCCATCCACACTGTGCCATAACCTTAATATGAGGCCATCTACACTGGGCCACGGCCTTAATATACAGTATTACAATAGTCGGAGAGACACACCTATACCTTACCTGTGGTTGTCTTTGGTGTAAGGGTGGAGGGAAAGGTCACACTCAGGGTAGGTCACCAGGGTCTTGTGACTTGACTTGGTGTCCTCGTTCACCCTGTATGAGGGAGAGGTGATTGGTCACTCATCACATAGCTGTAGCACATATACAAATACATACATACATACATTCTTACATATATATTGTACCTGACAATACATTCAATTATTCATCTCTTCATGCATACATTCATGAATACGTAATATGTTCATGCATACCTACCCAGTACAGTACATACCACCAGATAACTACAATCTGTTGTCCAGGTTGTCAAAGACTAAATTATTCTATAATCTTGTTTAATTACCAATTTCAGGGAACAATGATGAAATTTTAAGAACTTTAGTAGATGTGCGGATAACCAGAGGTACTGTACTAGCTCTATGGGGGCACCACAAGGGGCGGAGAATGGCTGAATGACAGACATGTGCTGGATGTTGTTATGATCATGGGTGAGAATATGTCTCTACCCATCTCTCGAAGACGGCCTCCCCAGCTGACTCACGGCAGCACACAACTTTAACTTTTGTTGGGACTCAAATTCATATAAGTGGGGAAGCTTCTCATAAAAAAGGGGGGGAGGGGGAAGCAAGCTTAGGAAATTTATATATAAGTGAATTTTTGTATCTTAAACGTTTGTTAAGCAAGGGATACCTTTACACATGCATGCATACGTTATTATACTGTACATGTGCAGAACTGCACATGTGTATTTACTTATACAGTAATTATACACACATACACATTTAATTAACATGTACCCTATCAAACCATAAAAACACTCTAAGGGACAAGTGTATGTTCAGTACACACACCTCACTGTAAACATGTTCACAGCCTTAGAGTGTGTCATACTTAATCCATAATAAGACAATAAAAATCATGAAGTATTACTCTGAGGGAGGGACGGCCCCAAACTGTAGTCAAGAGAATAAAACTGTTTCTTGTGTAAGAACAGAGAGCTAACAAACCTGTTAATGTATAGCAGCAGCAGGCGTGGAGGGCTGGTGATAACAGAGTGTTGGAGACACATGTGTTCCTCCCCGCAGTAGTCACACTCCCACACTATATCCTGCTGCCGGTAGTACTGCTTCAGCAGCTCCTGTGCCACACAATAATGACCTCAATGACTAACAGTAGTAGTTGTACTCCTGTGCCACACAGTACTCAACTGGGTGACCTGTACAGTACAGTTCAGTATACCTGTACAAGTGTTGTTTTTGGAAGCTTATCCAGGATCATCAGTACCACTATGGTTGTACACCACAGGTAAAGTGTTGTCATTACTCTTTTCAGTTCACATTAATGTTACATTAGATTGTGACATAAACAAATACAATAACATTACACACACACATCATTGCGTCTTATTTAATACAGTACTGTACAGTACTGTATTACAAAGATACTGTATTGCATAAATGTTTTTTTTTTATGAATTACTTTGTGAAATATTAAAAAATATAATTCCTTCTTTTGGTTCACCTGAAAGTTGCAAACATCTCAAGACAACAACAACAACAATAAAAATACTAAATAATCACAACTTACATTGAGACTGTATTGTTTCTTGGTGTTGACATAGAGAGTGAGGTTAGAGAAGCTCTCCTCCGAGTGACAGATGACCTGACCGTTCCTGCCACACACGATGGAGTTGTGTTGGCAGCCGTAGAACAACTCCGAGATGAAGGACCGAAGCATTGGTCTACCTCTGTTGTTCCTCAACATCTCCTCCTCCTCCTCCTTATTGCTGGTCACCACCTCCTGTGTTAATAATATACTGTACAGTATGTGTATGTAACTGCACACGTACAATCAAAGACAAAAGTCGTGTCGCGGTTTTGTCCGAAAATAAAATATAACTCGTGAAACATTATGAGAGCCCCCTACCACAAGGCAGGGCGCACCAATAGTTTTAGCCCTTCGGCATATGTTTTCACCAAATTTCACAACACGACTTTTGTCTTTCATTGTACACATACAGTACTTATAAACAAGCATACATCACCACATACATAAGTTACCCATCCAGAAATTAGCTCATCTTGTATGTACAGTAAAGAAATAATTTTAAGCTTAGAAGAACCAGTGTCCCTTATGCTCAATATATTTACTTATCTGCTAAGAGAACATACTTGGCCCAGGTCCAGGTGGAGCCACTCTAGCACTTGGGTGAGGAAGTCATGTGCCTCCTTTTGTTGGTCATCCAAGAAGAGGTCGTCCAGCCTACCAGCCAGCTCCTGCGAGGGGACAAGAGGGCAATAATCAGGGAAGAGAGAGGGAGAGAATGTGGTTTCCTCCCTCAGGGCTTCCCAGGTTCACCAAAATGATAAAAAAGGTAACAGTCAGGATTGTTAAACTGTCAGGGAGAGAAAAAATATAACTATTTTCACTGGCAACTAACGGTATGTGTCATTAACACCGTGAAGCATTCATTTGTGTTCATACATCTCCAGGTAGAGGAAAATTTAAAGTACAACTCCTTAAAAAGCTAAGGTCTAAATTGTTAGAGATCCACAAAGATAAATTTTTCCATAACAGGTGATGTGAGAATGTCCCAGGTAGACCCCTTCAGTTATGGCACAAAAATGGTAGCCTCTAAGGCAGTGACTGTAAACTTCTTGAAACTGATGTATTCTCTTACCCCCAGTTAAAGGGGACATATAACTCATAAACTTTGAGAATCTGGGTTCTGGGAGTCTAGTGTTAAAGGTCTTACATAGGGTATTGGTGCGTGCTGTACTGCAGAGAAGGGTGCCGGCCTGTACATCCAGATCTTCCTTCTCTTGTGGGACAATAATGTATGATGAGTCTGGACATATCCCAGACCTGTGTAAATGTACTGCATTATACTCCTCAGGGATAATGTGAAGATTAGGCACCTCAACTTAATTAACCTTAAGATCATCCACCTTAATACTAACCTAACCTAACCTAACCTAACCTAACCCCCTAGGGAGTGTTAGGGTGTTTAATCATTAGATGAAATAAGCTGAGGTACAGTCAACAAAAAAATTTCTGCACCTTTACACAGAACACCAGAACACAGGTTTTATATGTATTCCTGTTAATTTCTCTGTATTAACTATATGTGATCGACAGACTATACCATATTGGTTATATAATGCATCACACAATCAGAAGTACTGTACTAACCTTACCAAATGAACATGGCCTCAGTCAGTGAATGTTGTGAAGGCCGTCAAACCCAGAGGTGCAGAACATTGTTGTTGTTGACTGTAGCTAATGATCACTCTTCAGACCTAACAAGGCACTCTACCTCTCACCATGAGGATACTATGTGTTCACTGAAGCTAAAAGATCAAGTTCTCACCTTTAGGTTCTGGAGATGATCTTTGATATTGTCGCCCGTCCACATGGCTCTGATGACCCGCTCATAAGCCTTTGCCACCCGACCATCATGAGCAGCGGTCTCGTCAATCTCCTTACTGTGAACATATGTGTTAAACTACAAGACAGTGATAGAGAAGAAGAGAGAGTAAGAGTACAAAAATAAATATTATCAAGAAGAATTGGAAGAATCTTCATATTATTATACTCAGCCAAAGATTCACACAAATTAATCTGCAGTACAGTACTACACAGTTACCTGTATTTGCCAGTGATAAAGTGCTGGGTAAGCAAGTGTGTGTGGTAGAGGCACTGTAGGACACTGTTGATGTAGCAAGTATTGCCCAGATTTGGCAACCCTGATATCCGGAGGTCCTGTTGACATGTTAGGGTGACAAGTTACAGTACAGTGCCTGAGATTATATGGTGACTGACAGTGACATGATGCTGTTGGGAGATACATGACAGATATTTACATCAGCTAAAACAGTTAACAACAGTGGCTTGACACTGTGAACAGGGAATAAGTTATGTGGTCAGATGTTTACATATATATACTGTATACAATTCAAATTATGAGTTTAATAAATAAACACATGTTATTACATAGTACTGTACTGTACTGTATAAGGAAAGACAGAGGTGATTTGAGCAATGTACGATTGACTTCAGACAAGTGATTTTTTGTGTGCCCATGTCATGGTCACGTTGACTGCTGATCTATTTAACTAATGATTCTTATTAAACTCCACGCCCGCAAAACATGAGTGAGTCCGCGACCCCTAGAAGGAGCGTGTTTACCCCCGCGATCTCTCCCAGTAAGCCCCGCCTTTGTGAAGACAGTTATCAATACGTTGTTTATTCCACTTTCTCCTGGGAAGCTCAATCTTGAATTAGTCTGTGTAAATCAACCCAAGTAATTCGCCAGACCTTTGTCAATTGAGGGTCATCTTTGAATGAGTAACAGTTAGTTTGTTTGTGATTATTGTCATTGCGTGAGTAGCGATCACTGACAACTCAGGGGTATATAAACTCAAGATGGCCAGGGAGAGCGTACCCTGACGCTGCCCCGTTTGTCTCCAGGTATGTTCCGTGTTCCCTAGCCATTCAGTTAATTCAGTCAATTGTAGTGAATATCAGTGTTCATGATTTAACAGTTGAATTGTCATTCACCCAGTGTAGAAGTAATATAACGTAAATACGTCGGTCGTCTAGACAAGAGAGTTTGTTGGTGTTGTCATGTTTCTCAGTCCCCTGACGCTGCCCCGTTTGTCTCCAGATCCTATTGTGATTCTTGAATCGCTCTACCATCCAACAACGGCCTCGGATGTATTAGATGTCCAGCCGGGATCATATATGAGAAGATGGCACCGATGTGGCCTGATTAATGTGCCCCACGGCTTCGTTGGGCCGACCCCAGACCCGCCATGTGTCTGGCTACCCCACAATAACAAAGGTCGTGGGCCCTAGTGTTCTGCCCTGGGTTACTCCTTGGAAGTGAATGTCCAGAGAGTGTTGTAACATGTATGTGAGGGATAATTAGTTGGAAATAATTATCCCATGTTGGGTAGTGGACCCCTGCATATACTAGTGTCATTGTTTACGTATATGTTGAATATAATCTACAAGAGTGCCATGTAATGTATCACCAGTAATGCTCAGGCCACTGCAATAGTAATTAATCCTGAGTAAGAGTAAGAACTAAGAGAAGTAAGTAAGATGAGGGTGGTGTAGAAAAAGAGAGGGAACCGGCCCCCTCACATTGGTGGGAAGCCCAGGAACCCACCCCCTCACATTGGTGGCAGCCCAAAAACCCGCCCCCTCACACCCAGACACCATACACATGCTGACCAATATCCTCAAGCAATAACTCCCACATGTAATGACTCAGTACAGTATTACTACAGTACAGTATATTGATTATCACCACAAACAAAATACTGTACTACTTTACCTCAATGTCTGGAGACATTTCTCTGCCCTTGAAGAGTATCGTTTGCTCCTCAGCTCCCAAGAACTCAGTGAAATTAGTTAGTGAATCTGTGTCCTCACTGTTATTCTGCCACCTTCCTTGTCCTTCATTCTTCTGTTGCAACATTACATGTACTGTAGTGCATCAGTTTATAATACTACTACTACTACTACTGCTACTACTACAGGGTACTACTAATATTACTACTATTACTACTAATAACAATAATACATAACAACAATGACAGTGGCTTCTTCCATGATACACATCAGGAAGGAATGAACACACCACAACATACAGCACAATATCTCCCCATTGTTCTCTAATACTCACACACCCCAGTACAGTGCGTGAGAAGCAGAGAACACAGTCCACCAACCACTAGTAACTTAAGCAACACAGTAGATAGAGACCAACAACACTTCAACATTCCTACACCAGATTAAGGATTCCTTCAGTTCTACTATAAAACAAACAAAATTCCCTAAGTTTCTGAGGTATTAAAAATAATTCCTTAAGTTTTCTGTTAGTCACCCTAGTGTTATACTGAGAACTTACCAAAAATAAAGAATGAAAACATAGTTTTGACAAATGTCAAATTAAAGTAAACAGTTTTGTTACATCAGAATATAAATGTTGTTAGAGTAAACATATATATACAAAACTTACCCTATGATGAGTCTGTGCCACAGTTATCGGGCCGTTCAATGAGTCCTGTCTGTTACTGAGATAAGAAACTTCAGTTGTTGAGGAGCTGAGTGACGGTGCTTGTCCTTTCTGGGAAGAAGTATGATTGTCAATATTGTGCTTTGTCTTAATTAATCTATTTTAGGAGTTGGTGTCATGAGATATGGATTCTGAACACGTTATTTTATAGCTTTAAGCCTATTCCCTCATTAAGTAAACAGACAAGTAAATGCTGAAAACACTGTAAACATCGCGCAGCCATAATATGATGATACGTCTCTTAGTGGGAAACTTTCGGGCACCGCCACGACTGACCTTCCGACCCCGGGCATGAGTTTTATTCTTCCCCCGAGGTGCAGCGAGCATATCCAGGCTTGCTGTTGGTGTACCGATACTTCCACTGGACAGTCTATTAGGTGTACTGGTGTCTCTAGTCTGCATACCAGTACTTACATTTAATGCATCTGTGCTTATATTCAGCATACCCGTATTTCTGGTCAGTGTGCCAATACCCTGGAGGTCCATTTCATCCTGTAGTCAAGGGATTGATTTTATTTGTAACTTATCACAGCAAAGATCAATAAAGAAAACTTAAATTAACAACAGTGAATAATCAGTAAAGAAGAATGTGCTTGTGTGTGACTACTACAGTAATCAATATGGTCAGCTGAATAATCTAGGGGTGGATGCTAACACAGTATAGTAACTAAGGGACAAACTCAACAGCAGGTCAGCAGTACTCACATGCACACGTAGTTGATCCAGGGCCAATTGGTCCTGCTTCTGTCGACTGTGTACACTTAAACGTTTTACAACAGGAATGTGGCGTAGCTGTGGGAGAGTACAGTACAATGTGTAAGAAATAGTGATGATGAACAGTAAATCAAAAGATAATTAGATACTGTAGTGTACAGTACAGTACAGTACACTGTATAAATGAAACAATAATACAGTACTGTTTTTTAAGTACCTGTACAATGCTTCAATGGCTGAGGTTCTTTACTCATTTGTCAGCAAATGATGAAGGAATAAACTTTAATAACACAGATATAAACAATGAAAGACAAATATGATGTCTGATTATGACTGAGGGGACGGACAGAAGGGGTGACACGTGACATTGTTTATTTGTCCATAGTTGACAGTTCAATGTTTGTCTTTATTCAGTTTAACCAGACTCTTGAATCACTGATACAGTAGAGTACACAACAGTTATGTTAAGACCACTGAGGCTTTGGGTTTGAAGTTAAACTCACACTTACTCAGGCATTTCTGAACCATCCTCAGCTATGTAAGAGCCTCATTTTCCAACTCATTTCTCACCAGCCTACACACCCAATTAGGGTGGAGGGGAGGACCCAGGTTACCCAATAGTCTTTTGATATAAGATTGTATATCACAATTAAATCCTTTATTTATGAACTCCAGGTCCTTATTGAGTGATCTGTGGGATATAAAACATTTTCTCAATGTTTAGCTAACAAATAAAATCATCCAATCAAAGTGAGTCTGATGGTAACAGCAACATTGTGGGACAGTCTGTTCAACTGCCAGCTGCTTCACCAGTTCTGCTTAATGTATAGATCCTGGACATGAATTGTGACATCTCATAACATCACCTGCCCACCTGATCCCGCACTGTACTGGTTTTTGTCACACTGACCTCCAGAATAAACTAAGTACATCTACCAAGACAATCATCAGCATACACACAGACCTTATCACTGGAGAGCCACTGTGCTAGACCAGATTCTCCAACCATGGCAGCATAGTCCTTGGCCTGGTAGCCCATCTCATCCTCAATGTCCTTCTGTAAGCCTTGCTCCTTGACCAGCCACTTGGCCATCTCTTTCTGCTTGTTAGCGGCAGCATAGTGCAGTAGGGTGGAGCCGAGACGATCAATCACCGACGTGAGATTTATTGATTCGTCCCTTATTGATATCTCCAGTGTCTTTATCTGCCCCAACGCTGTGGCCAACTGTAATGGATCCCACCCTGGAAATATAAATACAGTACTGAATATTTTTGTAACAATATTTGTCTGTTCACTGTCACCTGCTGATTTTACCTGCACAAATCCTTGATTTCTTGTTAATGTCTGTATCAAAAAATAAATCCATTCTTTTCATAAATTGTTATACAGGTGTATCATGAGCTTCCTCAGCCAGGGAAGCACTTCTTCTGAGGAAATACTGGAGTACCTGTATTTATATTCATGGATTAGATGTTGCACAACAGAACCCCAGAGACATGAAGGGGTGCACTGACCTCGTGCATCTGGAGCCCTCCAGTCCGCACCACTGTTGTGAAGCTCAGAGATCACCTTACAGTACCGACCACGTCTGATGGCTGTATGCAGGGGAGTGTCTCCTGTGTCAGATGGTGGAGATGAGGGACTCACAGAGGTTGACTATTGATGTTAATATGTTACAGTATACTGTACTGTACTGTACTGTGTTTTAACAACTAATATCTTTAACCATTTATTGTACTGTACAGACTAGTCCTCAATAATGAGAAATTAAGACAGGTAATCTCTGGAATTCTGACAGAGAGAGAGAGAGACTAAACTTTTCAATGAGTTTTTTAAAAATTTTAATTTTTCTTATTAATTCTAGACCTACAATAAGAGAACAGTAAACTATACAGTATTGTAGTATCTGAGCCGAGAAGACCCACCTATGACTCAACAATGTGACCTTTATTAACAAGAAACTTATTGTCTTCTATAATATATTAACAAGATGGTCTCCTGAAGGACGCTGGCCATAAACTCACTAACTTACCTCGGGAGTTTGGAGCGTTGATGTGAACACCACCCAGGAGAAGTTCTCTCAACACCGCCACATTACTCTGCCTCACAGCCTCGTCCACCACCCTCTCTCCTGTTTGTCGGGGGTTCAAAACTCTCTTAAATTACATAAAAAATCAATAGAATAGCAATTTGAATGTCCACAGTAACTTAAAATCCTCCAAATATAAATAGTTATAAAAGTGCGCAGAGAGACGTGCAAGTATGCAAACTCTTACCGTCAAGATTTACGGCAGAGTTGAAGTTGAAATCCCCCTTTCTCAGTTTCCTCACTGTGTCACTGTCACACTTCCACACCGCCTTGAACAGCTGTAGTACAGTTAATAAGGTTAACATTAATACAATTGTGCTGCGTGGTGGGGGTCATTGGTGCAACATAAAACACAAAAATATTTCATATAATTTTGTTCCATAAAAATAGATAAAATAGTTAAATTTTATACAGTACTGAACCAAGTTGGTGAATAAATAACAAATAAATAGAATGATCAACTATGATTGCATAGATACATATTTGGAATGATAACTAGATACTGTAGCTAATTAAAACAATACTCTACACAAATTGCAAGACAAAGGAATTACATACATATTTCACATGTGTTTTACTCACACACACAAATGTCTGGCAGAATTTTCTAAATAATGTACAACAAATTGTAGCTACAGATAACACTATACTGTACTGTACATAAGAGAAACAAGAGTCAGTTATAAACCAAAACTAAATGAATGACTACGATATATTCCACTAAGTCATTCACATACAAAAATTAACAGTAACTACTGTACTGACCCTTAAGATAATACTGCACTGTACCTCTGTATCTTAAGGCCCAGTACTGTACTGTACTGTCGTTAATGTACTAGTGAGTTCTGTGCTTTAATTGAGACTTCTGCAGTTAAAGTCTGTTTATATGTTATAACAAAACCCTTGTTCACTAAATACAACTTATACTTTTTACCTTTATCCTCTTCGCCACTGATTGGTCCATTAGCTGGTAGGGGGGTCGGTCACGTCTCTGTTACGTACTGTACTGGACATGTACTGGCTCCAGTTCTCAAACATATCACAATAAAACTCACCCCAACTTACCATATTTATCTTCAGGTTGTGTATTTCTTTCTCTTGTTCACTGATGATTTGTGTGTATTCTTGGTGGTTTTTGTCGAGTTTTTCTCGTTCCTTGTCCAGGGCAGCTTGTAGAGTTGAGACCTGTGACTCCAGACCCAACTGTGGGGTAAATGGGCAACTAATTATAATGCAAAGAGATCAAAGTATAGTAAACTGGACAGGACATTTGCTGTCCCACACACACACCCACACACCCACACACACACACACACCCACACACACACACACACACACACACACACACACACACACTTGATCACCTAAGCTTTGCTCTCACACATGGATATAGAGAACACAGTTAAAGAAACACTCCACCTATCTTCTATAGTTGTTGTCCAGAATAAGAACAGACTTAGTTTATGATCTTAAAAGACCTTACCTGTTGAAATAAACTTACATAAAACAATAACTCACTTGTTCAGAGATTTATTATAAACAACAGGTAATTATAATAACCTCTGTACTAACATATTAAACTTCTAAGTCATTACACAAAGACCTATAATACACAAGAGGTGTTTTGTTCACTGTCAAACATACAGATACACTGACACACAAAACAGTTCTTTACAGTGATTAAAGACAAAGAGCCACAACCCACCCTGTCATGTTGTAGTTCCCTGATCTTCTGCTGGAGCACAACACACTCTGAGCTGTCCTGGGGCGAGTCCTCTCCTGACGTACCCTCAGTTGGCGTCTCTTGGGTCTCGGAGCCCTGTAGGAGAGGATGTTAGTCGCTAAAATTTGTTTCTGGTGTGGAGGAATCTGGCTTTTCTTACAGTGGTAGAGGCAGTGAGGCGGCACTTAGACTTGAGTCATCTATAAGTCGACCCAGGGTGCCAGGTACAAGGACCTGGCATCACATATACTGTACTGAGAGGTACTACAAGTATAATATTGTACAGTACTATACTAGCTCACACAACAAGCAGGTATGGTTACACTGTACTACAAGTTGGTAAAGCCATGGTTATACTGTATTACATATACTGTACTGTACTGTACTAGCTCACATAACCACAGGACTGTCAGCTCACACTGATAAAACACTGCCACTGTGTTCACATACAACTGAACGACACTTAGTTGCTATGACTCAAATATTCCATACAGGATAGTTAACAGACACAACACACCTTCACCTAGAAGTGATTTAATCAAATATCTTCTCACCAAATAACCTCAACAGACATACCAATACGACTGACTAACACACATACAGTACAGCCTATGATTCTCTAATGACAGTTGTGACTTTATAAGACAATTAACAGATTTTAATTATATTTACAGATATTCAGTTAAAACGAGCTTTCTTTTTCTACTAAACTAATGGAATTTTGAGTGACAGACCTTGAATGAAATGCTGATGACAGAGAGAGCAGGAGTGGTGTTGATCTGTGTTGAGTTGTCTGCTTCTTTCTTCTGTGTTTCTTGATTCAGTGCTTCATTAATTTCTTTTTCTTTCTTTAGTGCTTCCTTCATCTCTCTTTCTTGATTCAGTGCTTCATTAATTTCTTTTTCTCTCTTCAGTGCTTCCTTCATCTCTCTTTCTTGATTCAGTGCTTCCTTCATCTCTCTTTCTTTCTTTGCTGCTTCCTTCATCTCTCCTTCTTTGTTCAGTGCTTCCTTCATCTCTCCTTCCTTCTTTAGTGCTTCCTTCATCTCTCCTTCTTTCTTCTGTGTTTCTTGATTTAGTGCTTCAATCATTTCTTCTTCCTTCTTCCCTGTTTCAATCTCTACTTCTGGAGTCAGTGCTTCCTGCTTTCCATCTCCTTTCTTCTTTACTTCTTTCATTAGTGATTCCATTATTTTTCCTTCCATCTTTTCTATTTTCTTCATCGGTGTTTCTTTCTCTCCTCCTCCTTTCTCTTGTGTTTCCATTTCCTCTGCTTCTGACATCATCTCTCCTCCATTCTTCCCCATTCCCATCTTTATTATCTTTTCCTGAAGTGTTTTCTTCTCTTCTACCTTCTTTACTCTCTCCTCTTTCTCTTCACTCTCCCACCACACTCTTTGAGGGGCCCATTTATTTCCCCCCTTGACATTCTCACCCTTGTCACTATCTCCCTTGTCACTATCTCCCTTGTCACTCTCTCCCATGTAACTCTCTTCCATGTAACTCTCTCCCATGTAACTCTCTTCCTTGTCACTCTCTTCCTTGTCACTCTCTCCCATGTAACTGTCTCCCATGTCACTCTCTCCCTTGTCACTCTCTTCCTTGTCACTCTCTCCCTTCTCTCCCTCTTCACCATTGCCTATTCTCCCTAACTTCATCATCTCCCTTTTTATGTTTTGTGATATAACTTCTTCCATATTTGTCTTTGGGCTGACTGGGTGTATGTCAGTCATCCAATTTCTGTTTACATTAGCAGCTGGCATATCAATCTGCTGAGGTTTGTTTACATCAATCTGCTGAGGTTTGTTTACATCAATCTGCTGAGGTTTGTTTACTTCAATCAGGTGAGGTTTGTTTGCATCATGAAGGTTGTTTACATTAGCACCTGGTACATCAATCAGCTGGGTTTTGCTAAGATCAAGCAGCTGTGTTGTGATAAAATCAATCAATTGACTTTTGTTCATGTCAATCGAGGCAGATCGCTTTACCTCAACGTGTGACGTGACTTTATCATTTTCTCCTCCAGGGGGCATCGTCATTCCTCTTCCAGGGGTCATCATTCCTCCTCCAGAAGTCATCATCGTCATTCCTCCTCCAGAAGTCGTCATGGTCATTCCTCTTCCAGGGGTCGTCATCATTTCTCCTCCAGAAGTCATCATCGTCATTCCTCCTCCAGAAGTCGTCACGGTCATTCCTCCTCCAAGGGTCGTGCTGTTATTTACGGTGAGTGTGTCAGCTGTCACCTCCCCTTGACTCTCAGCATCTCCCCCGACAAGTTTGGATGATCTATCCTTCCCTCTTTTCTTTCTCTCCATCTTCAGGGGTTCTTCCATGTCTCAACCTGTTGGAAAATACTTGGTGACGCCTGGTGTGATATTGAGAACACACAGGTGGTAATATTCTGTTGTCTGGTGTGTAAAATCATCACAGCCGATAATGTACCGTAGTACTGTAATAGTGTGAGAGGTACGGAGTATTCAGATTAAAATAAATGGCAAGTTTCTATTTTAAAAGCATATTATATTGTCACTACTTTCTTCTATATCAAAGTTTTCAATAAATAAACCAAAAGATATTTACAGTACTTGGTAGAGGACATAAAACACATCATATGGCAAGTCAAACACACCGTCTTTCCCACGAACATCTGAACATTTCCACTGACAAATCCTACAAATATGCTAATCTACGTCGAGGATGTGATAAAGTCGACCATTACTGATAACACCACAAGATTACAACACTAAGATAACAGCGAGTGCAAGATGGCCGTGCTATAGTACTGCATGACATAGTTGAAACACCAACCTGTCTCTCTCCATGACAAAATATGTGACCTAAATTCACCAACAACTGACCAGACAGGAACATTTTTTTACATACATGACACACTTTAAATATTTCTGTGATCATACTAATACAGTATACATGTATGTATACTTATTAGATATATCGGGGAAATCTAAAAATCTACAGATTGATAACATCCCAGAAATACTTTTATGTCACGTAAAGACGAACTCTCATCCAGCCATCAACACAACAACTGCTCACAAACTTGAACCAGACTGTGTAGGAACCAGATTTGAACCAGACTGTGTAGGAACCAGACTGTGTAGGACTTTGAAATATGTGACCTCGATTTGTTCTTGACCTCTGACCTATTAGTTACCAAACATGTGCTCGGCCTCAACTAACACTAAACACATCTATCACTTTTCTCCACACCGTGAAGTCAAGCACGGACAGACAGACACACCCACACAAACCCTTCCAACATCTTCTTCAGTCATCAAAATATAAAACTGATACAAGTGAAAGTAAAAATTTTAGTTCAGGGAAAATAAAACCTAAGAGAGAAAACTTAAGTATGGTATAGTACTTCAGGAAATTACCACATGATGAATTATGTTAAGATGGAGACTTCAAGAAACATTACCACTGACACCCATTTGGACTGGAACCTTTTAACAGCACTTTATAATTTGTATATCTAAATCCCTTACTATAAACACAGTGTCAGCACCAGCCCCACCCAATGTTTCCCCTCAACCTACTGACACGATTAGTAGAGTTCTGTCTGATGCTTGATCACCAGCAGTCTGCCTGTAGGGTGTGAGAGAGGGAGGGGGGAAGAATTTGAATGTACTACAGTATGTATATGAGACAAGAAAAAAGAGTTTAAACGTGTTTATATATGTGAGAGAGAGAGAGAGAGAGAGAGAGAGAGAGAGAGAGAGAGAATGATAGCTTTGCCAAAATGTTAAGTGCATATCAGGACCCACTGACTGCAGCTACTCCTTATGTTGCCCAAAAACGACTTTTAACAACAACTCACAATGCTCAGCAGAGTGGAAGGTTAATGAGTACAATGACATTTCATATACCTTCAGTAAAGTGTAAAGAATTACAAATAATTAAGGGTGGATGGCGGATGATAAAAACAACATTAAATGTGCAGCCACATACATCACTTTATCCTTTCACCATTTACATTACGATTATAATGACAAACATAATTTTTCTACCTCGGGATGTAACACCAGGAGGGTTTGAATGACCAAACTGACAGTCAGTACAGCTTATCCTAATGTCAGAGGTGAGAAAAATAGTAAATATACCTATAAGGAATGGCACTCAATAACAAATACAACATCTAGTATAAGTGGTCAGCAGTGACAAACATAAATAAACTTAGAATAAAGGAAGAATGACCACAACAACATTCAGTATAATCTAATTCCCACAATGACAAAACACACATTCCTTACCTTAGGCCAAAACAACAAAGTTATACTGTTGTTTGATCAATGACTACCACTCCCTCTTGCTACCTAGTGACCACAAGACGACCAAAATGATACTTAGTAAACCCTATTCTCGTGTCAACAAGGAGGAAAAGAATATATATACGTACTGCACTTCCAGGTAGGGCGCGTACGACAAGAACGTCGGGATACTCCTCTGGGGCACAATAATCACTCCTGACGCGGCTCAAAGGGGACTGGAGAAAACCACGACACAGTGCCGCCCCTCAACACGAGCTAGAACAGCAAGCGTGTCCCCTTCTTCAAGACTGGCTTGGCTACTGGCGGTATCTTCTGAGTGCCCACACAGATAAAATTCCTCTGTCTGATAACGTAAAGTACCAGAGTTGCCCCTCTTATCTTGTCTGGCCAGCAGTTAAACAAGAATGTATGATGTAGTATGCTCTCTGTCATTTAGAGAGAGAGAGAGAGAGAGAGAGAGAGAGAGAGAGAGAGAGAGAGAGATCGAACCACACATTGTAAAAACAATATGAGACAACACTTACCGTTAACTAAATCCCAAGCCACGTTGACATATTAGTTTGTGATCCTGTGGGCCACGCAGCTCGTGCAGCATCGAGACCATTCAGTCACCAGGTAGATCTCCGGCAGTCTCCAGCTGATCAAGGATGCTGCACGACACACACATGCACAGCTGATAAGAGAAAATCACAGGCTTATAATCCAGACGTCACCAACATCCATCAAGAACCCTTCTGCCAGTCACACCACCACTTAACAGAGAACCATGCATGTTTATACTGTGTAGTGTAACAGTTAGCAAAGAATAATAGAAAATGATTTATATTAAAAGATTATCTGGAGTTCTGAGAAGTAAATCTTGAACTGTGATTACTGCCATTAAATGTGAATTTATTGTAGCTTGACTTATATAGTGACACACACACACACACACACACCCCAGGAGCAGCTAAACAAAACAAAATTTCAGCTGCATATGACTTTTATTTTACTTCTCTCAGAATGATAATCTGTGTTATCAGAAGATTTCATATCTCTCAGGGCTGAGATAGCACTGCTGGTTACTGTGTTATCAGAAGTAGTAAAGAACAAGTGTTCAGTCTTGTTTTCTGGTGGCACCAAGTGAGGATCATGACTTCCTGGACGACCAAACTTGTGAGTCACAGTGTTTTGGATTCAGTCATAATAACTACTGTACTGTACTGTACTGTACTGTACTGTACTGTATCATACTGTACTGTACTGTACTGTACTGTACTGTACTGTACTGTATCATACTGTACTGTACTGTACTGTACTGTACTGTACTGTACTGTATCATACTGTACTGTACTGTACTGTACTTGTATAATATTAAGAGGGGTGATGTTAATCATCACACAACACACACCTTATCATCCACCATGTGTACAGTACATACAGCAGTACACTCCCAATGTTTACACATAAAACAAACAACTATTCATCCAATCCAATACAGACAGTGTCTCATATGGACATACTGTGCACATATCTACCCCCACACACACAGAGTGAAACACTACATGTTTCTAACAGACAAAACATTTACACAAAAGATTTAAAAACAAAATATTTAAAGTCATAAGTGATAATCCTCCACATGAGGCCACACACTCATGTTATCAGGGCTAACTTCTCCTGAAATAAGAGTTGTGAATTTTTGGAATAACCCGCCAGTGTTGTGACAGCACCAAGTGTGAGCTCATTTAAGGCCAGACTTGACCAACACTGGTACATGTTCAAGTACTGTATATTAAAGAGCCAGTATGTGCCCAGTACAATACTTGCCACAGTGTGACTGACCAACCTGCTAGTGTGCTGACAAGTGGAGACGAAGATAATATAATGAATATGAAGAGAACAAATACAATACCCTGTAAATATTAACATTTAGTAGATACTGTAGATAGAAAGACAACCATCTCACACGTGACCTCTTCAGGGAATATCAACACAACACTATTTCCTCCAGCCCAGCCAACCGTCCTTCTCCCATCTACACCACTCACAGTTATCTATTATTCAGTGCAGTACTGTACTGTATTATGTTTTGTGTAATTATTTTTTTACTTTTCAATGGTCATGTAAATGACTGCAAGAAACAGATAACTATAACCAGTGCAAAATTATCATGAAGTATAAATGTGGTAATGGCTCTGCCTTCAGGTATCATCTGAGGTCAGTAAGTTGTGGGTCACCCTACACTGTTTGTGTATTGGGGAAGGGGGTGAAGTGTGTACCCAAATTTGTGCACAGAATCATACAGTATTTCTTATATGAAATCTAAGAAACTTTTATACCTTGATCTCTCTCTTACTTAACGTCATCATCTCTAGTGAAGGACGCCTCCATCACATATCCTTCTGGGTTCCCACAGGAACACTTTGCCCTGACGGGAAACAGCCAAGGGGTGCAGGAAGCACTGGCACAAGGAGCGGCAGTGAATGGGTCTTCCAAGGGCCTGAGGACGCCCCTGCACCACGCTGCCCTTCATGGTAACCTGGCCATCGTCCATCTCCTATGTGATCACAATGCCAACATCAAAGTCAGGAGTCTTATTGATAGAGGTGAGGATTAGTGACTTTCTTGTGGGGTGAACTAGTCAATCTTGGGTCAGGAGTCTTACTGACAGTCCTTGCTCACCACACACAAACTATCCCTCCTGCCCTCCATACAAACACTAACTACCCAAACATTAGTGACCCTTTCTACACTCCACAACCCACACATGCTCACAATACCTGACCCTCAAGCTGATGTATACTTGTTGTGACAGGGATGCAGCCATTGCACCTTGCTGTGAGGAAGGGACACACCACTGTGTTGGAGGAACTATTGAAGAGGGGAGCAGACCCCAATGATGCTGACAATAAAGGTGAGTCTTCTGTCTGCCTTCACTAGCACAGCTCAGCAGTCGAAATATATTAGTATGACTCAGGAAATGCCGAGATATTTTAAATTAACTGGGAAAATCTCGGCATATCTGGCCACCTGCATCACCTACCATGCCTCTGTGTCACCTACTATGATGCTTCATTCTTCACCTGCAGTGTTGGTAAGTGTTAATTTTTTACATTTAGTAATTACATGTAGTACACATTTATGGGTCGATAATTGTTTCTTGTTTTATTTTTATAGAAGGGGGGAAGTGCCTCGATAAGTTGGAATTTGGGATAACTCGGCAAGGCCAGAGCCCCATGTGTGCCGAGTTATCGAGGGTTTACTGTACAGTACTACTATTGCTGCTGCTACTACTACAATTGTTGCTACTATTACTACTACTGTACTACTATTACTACTACTGTACTACTACTGCTACTACTGTACTATTACTATTACTACAACTACTACTATTGTTGCAAATACTACTATTAGTTACTACTACTACAAATACAATAATACTGGTAATATTTTGTGTTCATGTACATTACAGGTTTCCTCGCCGTACACATGGCTGCAGTCTACGGCCACACATACATTCTAACAACACTGCAGAGAGCAGGATGTGACTTGAACTCACAGAACAGAGACGGGTCCACTCCACTCCACCTGGCGGCCGAGAACAACCGCATAGAGGCGGTGGAATGGCTGGTGCAACAGGGAGTCTCCGCCCAGGTGAAGAACCACAACCAGCTCACCGCCCACGACTGTGCCATAAAGAGGCAGTACACAGACATAGCGGACTTCCTGAAATTACACACAGCACCCAACATGGTACAGTACCTAAGGCCTTACTGTACTGTACTGTAGTTATAAATGCTGTAATATCTCTCAATAGTTTTACAGTAATAGAGACTGTTCAAGTAACCAGACCATTTATCTGAATTTATTTGTTTACAGTATTTATATACAAGGTGGTCTTATGTTTTATGTAGGTGTCTCATCTTCACAACTACTGAACCTGTTATCACAACACACAGTACAGCACTACCTCAGTGCTGAAACACTCCATCAAGTCATCACTATCTGAGTATTCCCTCCTCCTCCCCTTATAGCCAGCAGGTGTTTCTCAGAGGGAGCAGAGGAGACCCACACCTACATCAGCCACCCCAGCAGGAGGCCACAATGACCAACAAAATCTGCCTCGTCGTCACGCTCAACAGCCAACATCACCTCCTCAGCCCCAAGTGAGTGGTACAGGGGACTCACCCAGTTGGGTTATGGTGACCCAAATATTATACTATTCAGAATCAGCAGTACAGGTACAGGTGCTGTACAGTGATTTTCTTACTTATTCTTATGATGATAAAGGTGGTGTCAAGAACAAGTCTGCATATATACAGGAGGTCCGTGACATAACGAACGTCCGACTTACAAACGCCCGCCTATATGAACGAGGTTAAACTTGAAATTTACAGTAACTTGTACCATATTTTAGTTACCTGATGACTTATTTTTTACTTTCTTTTAATTTGTTTTATCATTTTATTTCTTCTTTTGTCTTAAATTAAGTGATTTTAGATGTACCCCTGTATATAAGGACTTAGGCTACGATATAGTGTGATTTTAAACATTGCTTTGTAAGTACAGTATGCACATAGCCTGTGTTCCAACTTACGTACAAATCTGACTTACGAACGTCTTCAGGAAAGGAACCCGTTCATAACCCGGGGACTCAGATGTGCTTGTAAGTGTAATATTACGGAACAATATACTTCAACAGCTAGATAACAGAGGCTGTCTATGAACACTATTACAGGTACAGTATCATTAATGTACTGTACTGTACTGTGCTGCAGCATACTTTACATTAGTGTACTGTACTTAAAGTAACACTGATAACAAGCACAAAGCAATCTCAATAAACTCTATTGATACCGGTACTGAAATTACCTGTGATTTCATAATAACAAGTAGTAAATGTAATGCATAATTATACAAATAAATTACAAAAGGGTTTCCAAAGATATCATTGTTAAAATGGCAGTTACAAATAATATAAAATAATTAGGATAATAATTACAAAATCAATCAATGTTTGGTAATATGATATAAGATCTCTTATCTGACAATAAAACTTGTTGCATCTTGAAGTTAATCTTGTGAGGATAACAGTTTATTTACAACAACACAACACAGTAAATAAAGAGTCTTAAACAAGATACTGTGTTGTGTTGTTATCTCTGAACACTCTGCTGAATAATCCACTAAAGTTAAGAACTAGATTAACATGTTCATGTATGGTTACTAACATGTTAATATATGACTAAGAACATGTTACAGTTAATGTAATACAGAGAAGAACTGAATTATATGTGTTGTCAGGCACCAGAACTGACCCAGGACTCTGGTAAAAGAGGCCAAGACAATGACTCGCCTCACCACCAAGTCTCCAACCAGCCTCAGTCTGCAAAAACTCAAGGGATAGAAAGAGGAAAATCAGTTGATCGATCGAGGACCAAATCAGTGGGTAGCAGCGGTGAGACCACAGAGAAGACTGACCATGGTCTACTGTGGCTCCTGGCTGCCACTGATGACCTCCAGGGGGATGGTGATGGCAGCGGCTGCTTCACCTCTGTTGACCCAGCTGAGGAGGTACAGTACAGTACAGTACAGCCAAGTTCTTTTAGCAAAGCTCACTAAATTATTTCTAAATCGGACAACAAATTTTGGTAATTGAGGATATTCTAGTTTACTGAATATAACAATATAATGTACTGTACTCTCATTGCTTTAACAGTTCATTCTTTGGACATTAATTATCAAATGAAAAGAGATACAGTAAGTGTGTTTTGTAATGTGTTTCTGCACTTAAACAACTAAAGTCTTTAAGCATGTAAGATAAGTCACTTCATATGTTCAGACAGCTCTTAAATCTATGAAATCCCACCAATACTGACTCGTGTACACCTTACAGGAAATAATAGAGGCAGTATCAAATGGCAACTACGCTACAGTGGAGAGGCTGTTGGTGGCAGGAGTTAACCCAGACACCCGCAGCCACATGGCCGGCGAGAAAGGTTAACTACAAGAGTATCTGTATGGGTCTAGGCCAGGAGTTCTGAGACATTGGGATACAGTACAGTACAGTATAGTACAGTATAGTACAGTATAGTACAGTATAGTACAGTACAGTACAGTACAGTAAAGTGCAGTACAGTACAGTACAGTACAGTACAATACAGTACAGTAAAGTACAGTACAGTACAGTACAGTACAGTATGGTACAGTACAGTACAGTAAAGTGCAGTGCAGTACAGTACAGTACAGTACAGTATGGTACAGTACAGTACAGTAAAGTGCAGTGCAGTACAGTACAGTACAGTACAGTACAGTACAGTACAGTACAGTACAGTACAGTACAGTACAGTACAGTACAGTGCATACCATCTAAGTTGTCTTTTTGTTGGTTTAACAATTTGTTAATAAAGAAATACAACGGTGCAATATTTGTGTACAGTTAGTGTTATTTACCTCCAGACCTGACACTGCTGCACCTGGCATCATGGAGTGGCCATGAGAAGGTGGTGAGCCTGCTGCTGATGTATCACGCTGACCACAAGGCCACCACCCATGGTGAGTTACTGGAGGAGGATATACAAGTACTGTACTCTCTGATATAAGGAGATCTGCCTAGTAGACAATATTTAACACGTGAGTTTGCTGTCAAAAAGTTTCTCTTATAATTTCTTGATGAAAATGAACACAAGAATGGTGGAAGTGTGTTGTTGTTCTCATCTCCTCCATTCATCAGCTTACTACAGCACAGTATATGGTCAGGTGGCCGGTCTGTTCTTTGTTATGAACTTCAGTGTTAGTACAGGAGGTAACCAGAGTGCCCGGAGGAACCTGCCATGTTTGGTAGTGAAGGTCACACTGGATAACACCCTTCTCACATCCAACCCAAACACATATCTAACCTGAGTGTGGCTGCTGTACCACCAACGGCCCATAAACTGGGCAGCCTTTGTTGGCCCACGTCGTGTTTTACCTTTGTCATTACCCTCTCTCAAAAGCTTTTGCCAACATTAGTATTGTTGCCAGCAGGGTTGTCGGCCGTCCACTGGGCAGCGGTGGGAGGCCACGTTGGGGTCCTGGACATCATGTGGAAGAAAGGCTTCAGCATAAAGTCCAAAACCGAGGACGGATTGACGGCTCTCCACCTGGCGGCTGACCACGGCAACCTGGCGGCCGTCAAGTGGCTGGTGGGCAAGGGTGTGTACATCTTCATAAAAAACAAACGGGGACAGACAGCCAAACACCTGGCCAAGCAGGCGGGGAACAAGGACATCGTTAACTACCTGCAGGAGAAGGAGCAAGAGGTTAGTGGGGCAGCTGGACGGGTGGATGGACAGGATGGATGGATAAACAGGTGGATTAACAGCTATACAGTACTGACGGACAGACAGATAGATAGAGAGCCATTTAGACAGAGACTGATAGATACACAGCTGTAGAAACATAAAGATAGATAAAAAGAGAGATTGATGGAGATATAAATGAACAGAGAAAGATTATAGTAAGCAAGTGAGAGGGAACAAGATAGGCAGATGTGATTGAGGGAAAAATCACACCTTTTGGCTGGAAAGAACAATAAGTAAAGAACAATAGGTAAAGAATAATGGATATAATGACTGGTGAAAAATTAATAATGTTAATAAAAATAGAAAATACTGTAAATAAATATAGACTAAATAAATAGATAGAATAATACAATGAGACTAAACTAGAGTGTACTGAAGGGAAGCATCAACGCACTGTAAAGACGTTTCTTGAATTTGTCACGACGTTAAGTATGAACTCTGTAGCTCTCTCTGTTCTGGAGTTGTTATATATATACTATGTCAGTAAGTTAGGAACATAATTCCAGCACAAAAAGAAATTCTCATTCAGTGTTCAATGTTCATACTTGGTTTTTGTACCCACAACAACAACTCTTAGAGCTGTTATGGTTATACGGTCGAAAAGTAAAGCGTGAACACCACATCTCTGAAACAAGACGCACCCAGAGTGAGTTGGTGCCTCCCTCTAACTACAGTCTAGTTCTTATTGTGGACGTGTAAGTCGGTGTGTACGTTCTCATGAAGGTTTATTCTGGTTACAGCTGAAGGTTGGCAGCCTCAAGTCTCAAGAAAAACTGGGCGAGGGAAGCTTTGGTGAGGTGTTCCTGGTGAGGGGCAGAGACAGCATGATGGTGGTGAAGAGGGTGAGTGATGGTGGAGAGGGTGAGTGGTGGTGGAGAGGGTGAGTGGTGGTTAAGGTGAAGAGTGTGCATGGTGATGGTAATAATAAGCAATTAGGGTTGTTGAATGTAAGAGAGAGAGAGAGAGAGAGAGAGAGAGAGAGAGAGAGAGAGAGATAACAGGCATTCTTTCAGTTCTATGTTGCAGCTATTTGTTCTCACACTCACTGATCTCACTTCCCATTCCACCGTTAGATTGACTTGTCTCAGATGAGCAGGAAGCACCAGGAGTATGCCCACAGGGAGTTCCAGCTTCTCAAGTCCCTCAACCATCCGTACATCGTTGCCTACAGGGTATGTGCTGGAACTACTGGCAAAACAACACATTAAATTAACCACACACACACACTCACACACTCACACACACACACACACACACACTAGATTAGACTTCTTCCTTGTTGTCTCTCACCAACGTGCAGGAAAGCCTCCCTTCTTTCAGTCATATAACCAATTGGAACACAATCTTACGTTACCCATAACTTGAGGCTTATACAGTATATTCCTTGCCTTTCATCATCTGCCTCATAAAATGCTCCAAAAAATACATTGTTCTTGCTCTCTGACTCACTGGAAAAGTTGTAAGTCTTATTTTCTGCCACAAAACTCAATGTCACAGTCTCTTGCAGGGAGGTGGGTTTAAAGGGAAGTACCTGCACATCCACATGGAGTACTGTGGTGGGGGAGATCTGTCCTCCAGGTTGAAGGAACAGAAGACAAAGGGTGAGGCCTTTGAGGAGAGACAAGTTCACTGCTGGCTCCTCAAACTCTGCCTGGCACTAAAGGTTTGTAACAAACATCACAACCAATGTGAAGGAAATAAATATACTTTCTTATTCAATGTTAAAAGAATAATGAAAACTATGTAACTGGTACAGTATATTACTGTATAATATAATGTTCCAGTAATGCAATCATATCCCAACACAGTTCTGTGCTGAAGTTACTTAAATACCAGAGATAAGTTTTTCTTTCTTGCACTACACATCCTGTGTTATCCAAACAGTACTGTACAGGTAAACTGATTTACCCTAACAATAAACCTCTCTCTCAACAGTACATCCACGGACGCAAGATCCTACACCGGGACCTGAAGCCCCAGAACATCTTCCTGGCTGACACCGGCAGCGTCAAACTGGGGGACTTTGGTCTGGCTCGCGTCCTGGAGGATAGCAGCCGCGCCCTGACCTGCCTGGGCTCCCCGGCATACATGGTTAGATCTTTTTTACCTGTGTTAGTCAGGTGTATGAATGTGTCTCACTAACTGATAAAGGAGGACAACTAGTGCAGCTTATTACTTACTTTGTGGTCACTATTATTGTTAATCTGGTAGACTAGAGCAGTGTGTGTGTGTGTGTGTGTATGTGTGTGTGTTTTACAACCTTTTGCAAGTTACTGTTTGACAGCTATAACACAAAGCACTAAATACAATGACAAACAAGTTCCCATTACCATGCACAGTACAGTACAGTCAATTGAGTTTTGTTCTCCTGAAGGTCATCCATTGGTCTAAGAATTACTATGGAAAACTGGGTTGTGTTGTTCACCTGAGATATAATTCAGCATCAACACATAAGACTCATATCATAAATGAATCTGGTTCTTATTACTGTACTGTATTAACATCTGGACGAGTGGCCATTCTTTTTCAATAATACTGTAGAGTTTTACTTCGTTTCCGCAGCAGCAACTTTTATGCCGGAAACACATAAGTGAAACAGGGCCTCAAACACCCTGTACTGTACTGATGAACTTATCCTAGTTCCTGTCACTCATAGAATTTAAATATAGTTCATCAATAATTCATAAAACGTAAACATAAATACTGTCTATCAACAACACATCTCACAGCATTTATTTTATCCAACTCATAATATTTACTTTAGACACAGATGAATCTAGCTTTTACTATTCACTAAAACGAGAAACAATTCATCTGCAAAAAACGCGCAGTCAACACAACCTTCATGACAACGCATAACACACCATCATGTGTACTGAGTGACAGGTCTTGTGACACCAGAGCCCTGAAGTGATCCGTGGGGAAGCTTATGATGCCAAGGCTGACATGTGGTCCTTTGGCTGTGTCCTCTACGAGATGGCTACACTACAGTCAGGCTTCCCTTTTACTAAGGTGAGACACAGGTTGAATAAACTCTGACCAAATGTTTATATATATTGATATTGGGTTTTGTCACTAGGTCCAATACATCCTGATGACTTCAGTGCCTCCCTTGTTGGCCAAAGTTCCTGTTCTCTCTCTCTCATAAAGTTCAATACAACTCCACTACTTCAGCATCCCTACTAGCATTTTATGGCTTTGTTGGCTATCTTTTGTTGAATTCCCTTACTGTTTACTATTGTTTGTATACCTGTACTGCCTTGATGCATTGTTTGTATACATGTATAGTTTATACAGTACAATATATAGTGTATACCTGCATTATCTATATACAGTGTATATATCCTGAATCAATACTGTATAAACCTGTATTGATGGTTTTACAGAATAAATATCTTCATTGTTTCTCACATCCTCTCCTTCCTTTCCTCTATTCTTCCTCCCTCCCATTATATTTACAATGTCAATTCCTCTGCAGGTTACAATTGCTGGGGAGTTCAGCCAGAGTTACAAGACTTTGGTAAAGTCCCTTCTGCAGCAGGACCCCACTAAGCGACCGACAGCTTCACACATCCTCAGAACAGCTCCCTTCCTCCTGGTGGGTCTTGTTAACATTATTTGTCACTCTTCTTATTTCTTGCACTGTCTCTCTTACCGCTAATGCAAGTTTATGGGCCAGTAAAATTTCATCCTTTGTCTATCAGTCTCCATTCTCTGTCTAACTTTTCGGTCTGTCTCTGTCTGTCTATCTTGCTGTCTTTTAGTGGGTCCTTATATAAATGTAGAGGAGCTAGCAGCTGTCACTCTCTCTCTTCACCTCATGTCCCCTGTCGGATCTTTGGTCTGACTTTGGCATGAAGACTCTGGGTCATGGGAAGCATCCAAAGGAATGTGAGAACTATTGCCTAACTGTTAACATAAATTAGACGTTTGCCTTTCTCAGGATAGAATTTACCCAAGAAAATAAAAGAAAATGAAGGGAAAACCTACATGCTAATGAGGGAGCCAATTACTGCACCAGTATATCTTAAGTGTACACTAGGAGCCTCTCTACAGTACAGTGTTGGTGTATTTCCTTATTTTATCCTCACTCCTTTACTGTGTCACAGAATGTGATGGAGGCCCAGCTGGTGGAGAGAGAACAGCAGGTGGATGAGCTAACCCAAGAGGTGGTGAACCTGACCCAGGAGGCCGAGGAACTCACCAGACAGATGGAGACTATGAGCGCCAACCCCTCCTACCCTAATGAGAAGAAGCCCAAATAAAAATAAACACAGAAGAAACAGAATGACGATGATCAAAGATGGAAGGTTTTAAATACAAAATACTGAAGGCTAGAAGAAAAATACTTGTCTTAAGACACTACTATAGCTGACAAGAGGAGATGATGATAAAGTGAAAAGAAAAATATATGTATAAAAAGAAATACTGTCAGTCTTGGGTGAATGTAGCAAGTCTCTCCTGCCAGTATCTGTTGTCTTACACCCCACCTACCAACGCCAACAAATTCTAGCTTTCTTTGTATCTATTAGTAGCAGCTATGAACAAGTATCTTTGAACAGTCTAGCTTGACTAGCAGCTATGAACAAGTATCTTTGAACAGTCTAGCTTGACTAAAGTATAAAAGATTGGTGGGTGAAAAGGCCTTGAACTCTCACCTGAGTTAACAAACTTCAAATCACTTCCTTGTTGTATGTGGAGTCTGTCTCAAGGCACCACTCTAAGGCATAATTACCTTTACTAAATCACTTTGCCACTTACCAGTTTACAAGACAGTTGGGTGGTCAGTCTACTCTATGTTACTGCAGTACTGGGGAGGAGTTGGCTCTCTCTTGAATATTGTTCCAGTGTTTGTAAAGAATGGACTTGTCAAACTTGGTGCTGTTGTGACATTTTCTGGCAGCTGGTTATTCCACAAGTCCTCAACTCCTACCCCAAAGAAGTTAGACCTGATACTTTTCTGTAACGATATAGCTTCATTAATTTAAGGAGGTGACACAAGAGCAGGGTGACCATCCATTATCTCCAGACATAAACATCTGACTTAAGTACTGGTAATATTATTTCAGTTGCTTTATAAACATTATTAAATTGCCCCCTTGCCCTTCTGTGATATTATAAACAAAGCAACTGTGAATATTCTAGTCTTGGTAAATGAGGCATTACTGTCAATCAACTGTCAGTCCTTAGAGACCATACAGAACAAGAAGGTGTGAGGAAAGATATGAAAACAAGACAAATGTTCCCAAGTTAAAGGTGATCTGACCTGAGGTGACGGGATAGCATTAAGACTTGTAAACGATGGAAACAAACGATAAAATTAGAAAGAAATTAAGAAAAAGAGAAAAGATGAAAGATGGGAATAAAGGAAGAAAGGAAGCAGAGACATAACTAAGAAACATTGGGGACATAGAGAAGAGGATGATAACAGTGGATGACCTAAAATAATGTGAGATAAATATGGAACTTACAAGAGATACAATGATGATGATGATGAACAGGAATAAATCATAATAATTCTGGAGCACAAATGTATAAGAATAATGGACTAAAGAACAATGAGAAGAAATAAAACTAAATGAGATACCGTACAGAAGATATGAAAACACAATAATACAAATAATAAAGAGGAGGTAAAGGGAGATGTGGATAATAAATGGCAAAAAACTGATAATTATTTAGTAAGAGTCAAGAAATATATATGAATAAGTGAGTGATAATGGACACAATTGATATTAGTACTGTTATCAGTGACTATTTATTATTACACAGTATCATTATTTCCATTATTATTATTATTAGTAGTAGTAGTAGTAACTTTTGTATTGATTCACATAAACTTACTTTAAAAAATTATTTGTTTCTCCTCCTTGTTTACATATACCTGTACAACATCCACCTCCTGTTGTTGTGAGACTGGAGCAGACAGTATAGAAACCCCTAAGAAAGTCTATATACCGTACAGTACACATTAACCACCATATTGACCCACAAGGCTTCATATTATAAACAATGTACAGTACATAATGAGTCTTCAGGTAAATGATTCATAACAAATATATATAACCTTTAAGTGTTAAACTGTTGATGGTATAATACTTTGTGAACAATGATCTTACCTTCTGAGGACTATAGCTTGACCCTTTTATGATGATGGCCAGTACAGTACAGCATAACATGTTGTGGACTAACCTTTCCATCCTTAATAGGTTAATAATAATAATAATGATCATAATACAAGAAGCAGCCAACATAACTACTGCACACTACCCTAGTCTTTTATTTCATGGAGAGTTGCCGCTCACTCTAGTTCAGTCTTCAACCAAGGCACTTTCCTCTCAACCTCTGTCGTTGTTAATGCTAGATGCACCACAGAGTGTGCTTTACTATGATTTTGATGATCTTTGCTTTATTTATGGTGTAAAGTAGCATTGTGTAGTAATACTAATGGTAGTGATGAGTGGTAACAGTAGTGTGTGGTAGACTGGTAGTAGTAATAGTTAAGTGTTAATAGAATGTTGAGGTAGCAATATGGTGTGAAGGAGCTGGCCATGATGGTGTGTCAGCCCTCACAGTGTGTAGCCGACAACCCTCACTTCTACCTCAGTGTCAACTTTTAAGGCCAACTTCTGTTTGTTATTTACTGACTACTACACAGTGTTCCTACTACTACAAAGTGTTCCTACTACTACACAGTGTTCCCCAATGACTATCAGTGACTCATCCAAAGTGGTGCCCCTTTACCTGTAACCTGTATTACTACTCAGGAATGTGTTAACTGTGATACAAACTTTCCTGAATTACTGTATAAGGCCGAGCTTTAAACTATAATTTGCCAAACCTCATTCCTCTGTGTCTATGCTGCCATTATTTCTGACATTTCCAAGTGAACATACTGAACTGTACTTCACTTTAGGTTTGACAGAGTATCTCTAAACACTTCACTACAGGTTATGTCTTACACACTAAGTTACAGTCACTGTGAAGGACAGAGTAACCCATCACGGTACAGTCTCTTCACCCTGACACCCAAGGTTAAGTGATACAAGGATTAGATCTTCACTCTGAAATACTCCACTAAGGGAGAGGAAGGAATGAAATTTATATGATATTTACACCTGCCTACTGAACATCCAGCTGTAATGTCTGCTGCTCTTATGTCCAAGTTTTACAATACAAGACACTAAATAATTAAAATATGTTGGAAGTGAAATAAAGAAGTAAAAACATCAGAAAGTAAGTTTAATGAAAACAAATCAACAGTATCACTGAAACCTGTCTCAAGGATCAATTACATTTGACAAATCTGGTGAGGTTGTTCATATACGTACAGTCTAATAATTTGTTCAAAATGTACAGAATCTAACAATTTACTTGCACAATAAAATACAGTAAGGTGAACCATCAATGGCAGCCATTTATCCTCTGGTAAAACCTCACACAAATGAAGACAACAGTACAGTATACAGTGCTGTTGTCTATGAGCTAAATCTAACTTATAAAAATACAATTTTGAAAAGGTGACTGTGACTTTTAAGGCCATTTATTAACTCCTTCTCTCTGGGGATACCACTTTTAATATTCTATTTGGCTAATGCCAGATGTTTTTATTCAACACAAAGAGGGCACCATACACAAGGGGTTAATATCAGGCCTGAAAGTTATGAGTGTAACTTTGTAAAGTTGCTGCTCTCTGAAGTTGTCCTTAAGCCAGTGGTGAAGAGGATAAAGTAAAGAGATATATTGTCAAAAGACTCAACATCAAATTGTCTAATGATTTTGGAGACAAGAAGACATCTAACTCACTCAACAGTCAGTTGGATTATTCTCACATCATCATTTATGGGGAAAGAATACTGTACGGATGTTTGAGGGTCCGACTCCATGACCAGATGGCTACACATATGAGTCCTGAACAGCCTCATAAAACACAATGTGTGCATCCCTCTGTGTCAGGACACCTTCCACCTTGGTGGCTGTCACCTCCATGTCGTCCATCACCCACCACCTGCTGCTGCTGGCCTCCCTGCCCCTGCATGAGGCTGTGTAGTGCCCGTAGCTCATCATCCCGTGGTGGCTACAAACACTCTGAAGTTGGTAGGCGGGGGAACTGAAAGAGAATGTACGCGTTCAATCTGTGCGACCGACCTGACCTAGCGGCACACCATACACTGCACACACACACTACTGCTGCTTCAGCAAAACATTATGAGATAACAGGGAGGTGTGATTGGCCTAACTAAAAGTAACATCACATCCAAGTGGTCTTACCGGAACCAGTGGTAGATTATTAATGAGACAATTGAGGCTGAAGGCTCAGGCCCTGTGCTTGAGGGGTCCCTTAATCACAGTTTGCAAAACAATTAGCCTTTTCACCCCTAAAATACTAGTTTTATCGCCCCCAAGGTATGTTTTGTCTTAACTAACACCACTGTACTCTCCGTTATGGTTCTTTTATGGAGTTTATCACCTAACCTGAGACTGTAGGTGTACACTGTGTAAATGTACTACAGTACATGTGTTATTAATAAACGTCTATAGAAAACAGACCCCAAATAATATTATGCTAAGGCTTGCCCAACCACAGCTAATCTGCCCCTGATGGGAATAGACAAACAAACACCACAACCATTCCATGTGACTGTTTTAACTGTGCCATTAAAGCTGTAGCCGCCAGGATGATGGATATGTAAACTGTCAGCTGTGGAGTGTACAGTAATCATTCCAAGTGAATATGGTACAGTATCACATATATTATGTTACAGTTATAATGTTACAACCATTCATTATGGTTCATGTAGCCAACTGTACTGTATACTGTCCTCTGACAGTCATTTAAATTTTGTACTTGTAAGGCATATGGCAACTAAAGATCTTTTGTACTAATGAGAGACCATAAACTAAGTTTTGTAATATGGAACTTACAAACTAGGCATTGTATTGATGTGGTATGTAATATATCATTCTTATATTGATGTGGGACCAATTGAGAAGTTTCTGTACAAGGATCTCATGAAGATTAAGAGCCTTCATTTATTTCACGAAAGGATCAAACACCCTAATGATATATGGGCGAGTTAGATTAGGTTAGGTTAGGGTGTTTAATCATCAGGGGACAAAAGCAAGGGTTCCTAAGCTTAGAGAGATCCCTGTACAGTACCAGCAGCTGACTTACTATCCACCGTCTACGACATGTTCCTGGAGGGAAAAATGGTCAGCTGGAAACACCACCCTGGTCTTTTGGGTGTTCTTCAAGCTGCTGTGTTTGTTGTACCTGTGGGGAGAGATGACAGGAAGTATTAATTCTAAGGTATAACAACACACCTTCTGAAAAACACACACACACACAGGTCCTAGAGTATGCCTGAAGAAATGTTGGAGATACATTCAATTTTCACACAAGACCTGATAATTACAATATGATAGTGTCACTTAGTGCTGATCAATAAACTACCATGTGCTCCCTCTCTCTGGCTAATGGAGCAGGTAAGTTTGTTTTAGGATACAGTAGTTACTTATGAGGTAGATTTAATGCAGTACAGTCATGTGTGTTTGTCTTTTTCAACAATGATATACAACACAGTTCTGGACAACACAAATTAATGTGTGAAATAAACATTACATGGCAACTTAAAAATAAAAACCAAGAGATAAATGATACAGTACAGTACCTGTCTTTATCTAGACTGTACTGTACTGTATTGTATAGTATTAATGTTACTGCACTGAATATACTTACTGATGTTATGGATAATAGTGACCAATGGAGAAGTATACAGCAAGCAAGAGAGGAAAGTGCAGTGCAGTACAGTAAACTAACATACCTGGAGAAGTGTAGAGCAAGAATGGGAGGGAGCTTGATGAAGGAGGCGTACTGGACACACCTGTGTATGCCTCGACAGTGCTGACACTCCCAGTCTATCTCCTGTGGCCTCATGTGGTTCGTCATCACCTCCTGTAGAGGCAGGGCAATGCTTAATCATAGTGTACATACCATACCTGTACTGTAATCATCACATGTGAATTTAACCTGGTAATAGCCACTCTGTTCCTTGATATCTTTATACAAGTACAGAAGCTGCCTCTATTAACTTAATTCCTGTAAGAAGCCTATGTTCCCTATACTGTACTGTACTGTCCAGTAACAGTGACATACCCAGAAATTTGCCAAGGGGGGAGTAGGGGGGGACTTAGAACAAGACATACCAAGGTACAGGTATCGTTGAAACACGAGATAATTAATATTCTTCTATACGTTCATGAAGAGCTTAACCATTGAATAAGTGATGCTATTATTTTTATTTATTTCTTTATTATCATTTTTTTCTTTTCTTAATGTTAAAAATGGTTTATTTGGAGTTACCCCGCCTTTTGGTATGCCTATGTTCTGTAATGAGAGCATAAGCTGTGTCTCCCAGGTGTTGTGTCTTACCTACAGTCTACAGCTTCCACTTATGCTACACTCAGCTGTTCTCTGCCTCTCAGTTTTCCTCTGTAACTCTTGTCTACTAATCTACCCTCATAAACGTCCAATACCAAACTGTCTGTATGTATCACATCTATTTAATCTACCACTTTCTAATTACATTTATCCTAGACCTCTACTTTATTCACTCTATCCAGGCTTATTTATTTCTCTTGTTTTATGTCCCATTTAGTCCACAGAACTTCCACTTTCCTTCTCACATCTTCCTTGTGTATGGTCAAACTTTATGCTCCCTGCAGTATCTCACTCTAAACCATTCTTTACTGTTCTCTTTCTAAATCTTTGCTCAGTTAAGCAATCAAGAATTCTTCAACTCGTGGGAAACGCCTCTTATATTAACCTAACACAGTCCTTCTTTACACTTCCTTCAATAGTGTTACTGTCAGAAGGAATGACCCAGTCACTATCCCTGTACTGTATCAACTTACTCTCTCTGTTAGTCTAGTACTGCACTGTACAGTCAGAGATCACTTACACATCCTCAAAACAATACTTCCAGCCACCTTACTCATTTGTCTTCAATTATCCTAAAACACAACCTTTTTCTATTCTCACTGTAGTTTACAAAATTTCATTAAATTTACACCAACACTGGAGGCTCACCTGCAGGGAACAATGACCAGTGCTTGAGACAGACAAGCTCAAGCTGTCAAAGCTCTCCTCGGTCAAGATGACGAGCTTGTTCTTCACTCGACAAAATATTGCAGATTCTTTGACTCCCTGGAAGAGTGTGGACACTGTGGAGGTCTCCAGGCTGTTGTGAAGGTTGTTGTCCTTCTGTTGTGAGAGAGAGAGAGAGAGAGAGAGAGAGAGAGAGAGAGAGACTCAGGATGTTCTGGGGTTACTGAGAGAGAGAGAGACCCAGGCTTTATTTACAACCAAAGATTTTACAACTAAGAGTGACCAACACCACCACCCAGAGCGGTACAAACACACCTCAGATGACCGTTACCAACCTTCTACCTGCAGTGACAATCATATAACACTCTGGGACCCTGAGGCCCTCACACACCAATGGGGCCCCTGACACACAATTGGGGCCCCTTACACAACTCTAGGGCCCCTGACTCACCACTGAGGCTCCTGGCACACAAGAACAACCAACTTGTGTTACGATCACTATAAGTGGACCTAGCTGTTGTAGTGGTAGATAATGAGACACATTATATATACTGTATTATATAAAGGTGCAAAGAGTTGTTGGTACTGTAGTTGGTCAGAAGTCAGGATCCAACAGAGACATGTTCAGAAAATATGTAGCATAAATTAACAGGAACTCACCAGGAGGAGATCCTTCAATGACATATTTAAGTATGTACTGTACTGTGTGGCTTCCTTCCAGCACTCTTTTATTATATCAAACAAAAGTGTTTTAATATATTTACTTTTACCATTTTTGGTTGATAAACAGAAGAGTCAACAGGAGCTGCTTCCTTAAGAGCTCTAACTTACCTGTACCGAGTGTTAGCAACCCTCTCCTAGTACAGTTAACAGTGGCAGTGTGTAAACAAGAGACTTGGAATTTGTTCACTGTCTTACCTTGGCCAGGTCATTGTGGAGCCACAACAAGAGGGAGGAGAGAAGGTCGTGGGCTTCATGCTGATCATTCCCCTGGAAGATCTCATCGTGTGTCTCCAACGCTTTCTGAGGATGACCAAAGAGGAAGTACTGTACATGTTCCTCACATAACTGTGTCTTCATATACTTAACAATTCTCAAGGTAAAACAACATACTGTACTACATCTTCAAGTTAGGACGGTTATTATTTACCTTTGCTTCAGACGACTGTTTCAATGTCTCACAACAACAACATGGGAACCTTACAAACAATGGCTTTTGATAAACTCTGCACAGTAGTACACCACAACCCATGTGTGCACTGTTGAATGTAAACAAATGGTTTCATCTGATTTTAGGAGGAACAAAGTTAAACAATGTTCAGTGACTAACTCCTGCCACAACCAGACACAGTTCAGTTCTTACAGTGATGTAACAGTGTACAGAGGCAGTGACCATCAGATTATTACCTGGCAAGATGGTGGGGCAAATATTTCATGTGTCTGCTGATTTCAGTTTATAGAACCTTTGGATATTAAAGGTTCAAGATGGTTCAGTGGTGTACAGAAGAACATGTACTATGGGGTAAGAGATAGAGAAGATAAGGCTTATTATGCAGACATACTGAACAGTACAACCAAAGCCTAACAGACAGAGCAGCTGGAGGGTCTAAGGTGGGTGAATGAAGTTAACTGTTGGATCCACACAGTGATGAAACATCTGAAGTGGTGGGCTGTGGTTGCCAATCCTCAGCCTTGTACTTGACTTAATTGAGTGATACTCCAAAGATACAAGACTGTCTTCACGAGACACAGCTGTAATATATTAATAATTCTTAATCTCTTAATTAATTTATCATTTCTTCACTTAACAGCTTATACTTGCCATTCAGGCAGTTTGTTGTTCTTTGTAATGAATTTCATTGTCCAGTGTCAATAGAGAAGGCAACCAGAGTACTGTACCTGTAGGAAGCCTGCACCTCTTGTACCAAAGTAATAAATGATCAGTGTTATACCTACCATACAGTATTTTGGAAGCAATAACATGTGACTCTTCCACATAATGGATAAGCAATCAAAGCTGTTAATGTCTCACTCATTACTTCAGCTGGGTGTAATTTAAGGGCTCAGATCTCATCTTAACGTGTGACAACCTTCACAAACTAGACCAAGTTGTTTTGGTTTATACAGACAAGTTTTAATTACTATTATTTCTCTCTCACTCTCACTGTGGAAAACCATAAAAATATATGTTGTCACTAACCTTGAAATCTGTCATGACAAGTTTGGTATCAATACCAGACACCAGGGCACTGAACACCTGAGCCAAGGCTAGGGCAACCTGCCCCTTCTGATCACTTTCTGTGTTGAGGTCCTTCCTGCAACATGTTCAAAGTTCCCTAATTATTCCACTTTCTTTCAGTAGTTTTTAAAGGTCATTCAATTTCTGTTGGGGGCAGTGTGGATATAGCACACTGTGGACTAAGCCAATTTTCAGTACACAGTGAGGCAGTAAGACTGGCACTACATTCAACTACAGGACTGTACCTTCACTTTCCCAAATGTAAAGTTAGGTTCCCAATCACAGCTGGGTGAACTAGGGGAGCTATGAGTCCACACTAGTAACTCTTGGATGGATGAGTGCTACATCCACTTGGCTGCCACAACCAATAAAATCGTCTGGCATTAAGCAAATAAAATAATAACTGTGACATCTCATAGTGAAGGGGTTTATGGAGATATTTTATTAACCTCTTGTGTACTGGGAGTCTCTCTATGCTGAATTAAATCACCTAATGTTAGCTAAATAAAATGTTAAAAATGGCATCCCATAGTCAAGGGGTTAAATAAAAACAAGAAATCATTGCCCTCCTACATAACTTAATTTACAAATAATTCTTTATTTTTCACTGTTGTATTAACTGTATTAGTTACCCACTTACTTGTATTGTTCACTGGTGAAGTAGAGGCTGAAGGTTTGTATGTTGAAGAGACACTGGATGACAGAGTTGATGTAGCAGGTGTTGCCCAGGTTAGGTAGACCAACAGGCACCTCACTCTGAGGAGATCATCACTTACACACCCAGCAAAAAACTACATCTACATTATTTTATTTAAATCAACACTGCACTGCACTATATATGATCCGAAGTTTTGTTTGTTAACCGAATTGAAGATCCTTACGGGAGGTAATTCATTAACCGAAATTTTGTTCATCGAACCGTTCGTTAACTGAGGGACCACTGTACAGTACAACACAGGACAGTACATCCAAATAAGCTACAAGTCTTGTGAGAATATGTTTCATAAAGCCACATGAGGTTTATCCACCCCAGCTTATTTCAGCTAATGGTTAAACACCCTAATGATAACCTAACCTAACCTAACCCCCCAAGCAGTATTAATCAACAGGTGAAGTAAACTGGGCTGCCTGATTTTCTGGTGAACAATTTTGCATGTTGTTGAAGCTTTTCTTCCTGAACAATAAAACAGTTTTTTACGACAGCTTCCAGAACCAAGGCTATTGTATGTTATCCCCAGATAAGGAACATTACAAAAGTTTAGGTACAGTACTGCCTAGTAGGACATCTGTAATGAGGTTAGGTTAGGTTATGGTATATTTGGCTTATCTTGTACAGTAGAGCAATGCTTCAGGCACTGTTGTGAGAATAACCACAGATATAACTCAAATTTGTTCAAAACTTACTGCAAACTCTACATGTATAGATCAGCAGTTAACATCATGCACCAGGTAAAGCTGCCAAAAACTTATCAATATTGTGTACATAAAAGGATCAACTCACCACAGCAGCAAGAGATGCTGACTTGTACTGCATTATTTTCTCCTCCTTCTCCTCCAGTAGCAACTTCAGGGAGGAGATCTCTCGTTCCCTCTCTGCCATGAGACCTTCAGACGATGACTTCTGTGTCACCTACAGAATATTCCCACCAAGTCTTCATTATAGGCTTGGTTACCCACTGAATATTTTTGTCCAGTTTTAATCATTATAGTACAGTACAGCCCCATTATAGTACAGTATTGTACAGCTCTACATATACCGGTACTTAAACTTGTCTCACAGTTTTACTCAATATAGGTCTACAGGATTTACCTTGCTATCTATTTCTCACATTTTTTGGTCATAGTAACACAAACTCTCTCATACAAATTAATATTATAATATATCCTTTTAATAAAATCATAGCACACTTCACCAACTTTGTGTGTATAGTGACCTCATTTAACCCATTTTTAGTAAACAAACTTGTGTTGTGTGGACTCATATGTCTGACCTTTTCCTTATACTGCTGGAGTCTGTTGGTCAAATCCTTCACCTTCAACTTGAGAGAATTTATCTCCTGGTCCTTGTTAACTCTCTCTTTGGTCCAGGTATGTTGCTCCTGCCTCAGCTTAGACCTTAACTCCTTCACCTGCTGCTTCAGTGTTTCCTGCAGCGTGTACAACAACAGGATAAATTTCCACAGGTTTGTCTTTATTCTCTTTGTCTTTAGTCAGCTCACTAGCCAGATGGGCAGTTGGTCTGTGTTCTGTTACACAGTACAGTGCAGCAAAGTACAGTACATAATTTATTATCATCAAAATGTTATAACATAAACCATTCTTATAAGGTCATAACTTAAACCATCAACTTTAACTGGTTGTAGTTTTAACTATTTCCATCAAAAAGGTTATATTTAAAACATCCTCCATAAACAGTTACAAGTTAAACCATCATTCTTAATAAGTTAAAACTTCAACAATCATCTTTAAAAGGTTACCAGGTACTGTACGTATACTGTAATTTAAACCATCTTCCTTCAGGGTTTATATACAAGTTAAACCATCATCCTTACAGAGCTAAACAACAGACCACTGATGGGGCTACTAAAATATTCATGAGGTAAAGTCAGTGGTCTAAGAGAGAGAGAGAGAGAGTAACTAACCTCCATATCCGCTGAAGACAACTGGTGTTTTAACTGGGTAATCTCTTGTTTCATGCTGTTTATCTCTAAGTTCTGTGAGGAGATGTGTTCCACCATCTCCATCCTATCTTTCTTCCACTTCAGTTTATCCTCCTTGTGGTGCTCTAAGAGACTCTGCAGTTCAGTGATGTTTTCCTGTGGGTGGTGGTGAAGGAGGGGGGTTAGCTGTAGTCCAGGAATGGGTGGTAGGATCCATGGGTGTCAGGAACGGGTGGTAGGGTCCATGGGTGTCAGGAACGGGTGGTAGGGTCCATGGGTGTCAGGAACGGGTGGTAGGGTCCATGGGTGTCAGGAACGGGTGGTAGGGTCCATGGGTGTCAGGAACGGGTGGTAGGGTCCATGGGTGTCAGGAATGGGTGGTAGGGTCCATGGGTGTGTCAGGTCCATGGGTGTCCATCGGTGGTAGGGTCCATGGGTGTCAGGAACAGGTGGTAGGGTCCATGGGTGTCAGGAACGGGGGTAGGATCCATGGGTGTGTGTGAGTCTCTATACATTTGTGTGTGTGTGTGTGTGTGTGTGTGTGTGTGTGTGTGTTTTCCCATCTGTACATTATTTAACACTTCAGCATCATCAGCAGTACAGTTTGGACAGTTAAAAAAAAAATGAAATCTATGATAAATAATAAATAAAATAATAATAAAAACCTCCATTAAATTATATAAAAAAATGTTTGATGTAATTACTGAGATACAAGACCAATTACACAATACAGTAAAATAAAATATAAAATAAAATTATAAGAGTCAATGATACATCTCCTCTCACCCACACACTCCCTCACACTAAAACCCTCTCACCCAAACAGCCCTCTCATCCACACAGCCCTCTCACCCTCCCACTCCTCTCCATCATCTTCAAAAAACAGTGGGGCTACATAACTCGATATACAACGTGTTACATTAACCTGTTCTTGACACTCACCTGAATGTTGAGGACCTTCAGCTCAAGGTCGTTCTTAGCTTTTGATTCTTGACTGAGTTTGTCCTTGAGGCTTATGATGGTAGCATAACTGTCTTCTCGTTGTTTATGTAGTGTGGTCAGCATATCTTGTGTCCCCTGGAAAGTACATAATGCTCTTGTAGTACATTACTGCTACATACAGTACATGGACTGTGTATTTTTTGGTGAAGTAATGTTCAGTACTTCATTGCATTACTGATTTAACTAATGAAGACATAATGACCATGAAAACTAGTCACATAATATCATGGTTGACTCACCCGATCAGCATCATCAAGGTAGTGAGGCTGGTGAGAGTGACCTTCCACAATAGACACGGGCCGTGCTGCATATACTCCGGCGGCCACAGTGTCCGGCCTCCCCTCCTGTGTCACAACATAATGTGATATTAAATACTGTATGGCTCTTATTATACTGTACTGTATATCACATCACTATCAACATACAGTATTATAGAAAAATATTTAATTAAGAAATTTCAATGACCCTCATAAAAAGATACTTTATTATTGCTGAAATAATGTATTAATGTACTTCAGCAGCACAGGACCTGTGGTTAATTTATACATTAGACAACAATGGCGCTTAACTGTAGAAGATATGCTTAGGTAGAGAACACTATACATTCTATCAAGGTCCTAAGTACAGCATTCACAAACTTGTATATGATGATCCTCAGAAAACAGGAGTTTTGTGCTGTACAGTATTGTACTAAAGGAATTTATGTGTAAATCACAAACTTATTTAAGATTATTTGTTACAAAGTTTCTTCACAATGATATAAAAATTGTAAGGTATTATGGAAAGCTTTAACCCTTAGTTGATATTCTATGTTCTGTAAATACTGTAATGTGTTAACCCTTCTGGCAGACTTTAATGCCAATATTGTTTACATTAACCCCAATAATTAAGATGGGCAGATGAGAATGGACTGATTGGAGGGTGGTAGATGGTCAGGATTAACACAATGTGAGGATAACAGAAACATGTTGGTCACCTGCTGATCAGCTGCCAGGGTTAACTGGTCATGACTTTTCAGTCGGAACAGTTGTGCCTTGTTGTTGTCGTGGGCGGTGACGGCTGTTGAGGGCTTACTACCTGCGGTCCTGTACAGCTCTTCCCTGCTACCATGCAGTTGAGGGTGAGAGCTTAGTCGTGCAATGAAGCCCGCCGTTTCCACACAGTGACCTTTGGGTACTCTTTCATTGCCATCGAGGAGTTGTTCCCTTGAGCCAAACCTTTTAAGAGAGTTAGTTGTCTTCACGTCGGTTTTGGTCCTGTATAAATCTTCTCTGCTGCCGTACAGCTCCTGACGTGAACTTCGCTTCTCGAGGGCTCGTATTTTGGACAGGTCACCGGTACTACTAAAGATCCGTTCTCCCGAGTTTAATTGTTTTAGGGAAGGGGTCGTCTTGTTGTCTGTTCTGTTCCTGTTTGACTTAACGTTATTGCTATATAGATTTTCACAAGATCTCCGAGTCTCAAGAGTGTGGACTTTAGACAGTTCTCCATGACTGCCATAGATCCGGTCCCTTGAACTTTGTCGCTTCAGGGATGAGCTCGCCCTGTGATCTGTCTTGATTGTGCAAGGATCTCCCTGGCTCACGTGCTGTCGTCTGGAGGAGGAATTTGACCTTGGCTTCTCCACCAGTTCTATATTAGGTTCTTCATTCACTGAGTTTCTAGACCAGTGGCTGTGAGTGCTGGTAGCTGGTCTCTCACCCACCTGGGGCACGTGTAAGCCTCCCCTCTTACTGACACTGTCCAGCCGCTCCTGTGTGGGTTACAATAAGTTAATTAGATGAAACACAGATAATCTTAATTACAATACTTGAGAAAATTTACACGACACTGACTACAATAACTTATTCCTTGATCACGATGTCTTTACCCTATGAATATGACTTATGTCCTCAAGCAATGTTACACTCTAGTGATGAAGTTAAATCATTATACTGTACTGTAGTGAAGAAGTTAACCAGACTCACTAGGATAACAGAGTCCAACTAATTAAAGACTGAGTACAGTATTCCCTACTTCTTGTTAGAAAATAAGACTAGTCAAGATGATCCCATTCAAACACTTCTTCTTTGTGGTCATTACACAAGTTTGTCAATGTCCCTCAGTGAACAGCTAAAGTTAATCACTCGTTTATTCATTTCAAACTAGTGAAGAGGATTCTCTCCCATCACCCAGCTATCTGCAGCAGGGAAGAGTGAACTTGTTACATGGTAAGTCACATTACAAGTTTTCACTGGTGTGGTCAGAGCCTACATGTACAGTTGCCTCCACATGAATGTACCACAACCTAGGTGTGTGCGGCGACATTTTGCAAGATGTGGCAATGCAGCGCTGTAGCCATGGGCGTGAAACCATGAAGTACCCTGTTTGCCGGTTCCCCATAGTTCAGTTCCAGTAACTCAGTCGTGGCTATACAACAATGCTGCATAACATGTCTTACACGGCTCATTTATCTGTTTACCTCATTTATTGTTTATCTTATTGTAAACAGGATAAATCTACTGTTTCACGCCCATTCATTCAGCCCTGACTATGGCGCTGCATTGCCACATCTCATGCCCGAGCCCTCACACAGGCTGTGGTACGTTCATGTGGAGACAACTGTACAATTAGTTAAATTTTGTTAAACCTTTGATTAAGACGAGTAGCATGACAAGTGTTAATATTAACATATATGTAACTATTATTAACTTCTAAATGAGACAAGAAAACAGCTTCGTAGGTCAGATAAACTGTTATCGTGGAATGGACCTGGCCAACGGGATGGACCTGGCCCACGGGATGGACCTGGCCAACGGGATGGACCTGGCCAACGGGATGGACCTGGCCTGCAGAACTCACCTTACTCTCTAGCAGTTGTTTGGGTGGGTTGTAAGACAGCTGTTCAAATCTCCTTTTTAATTCGTTAACTTTTGTATCCTTAGTCTCTCTGTCTCTTCTGTCTATGCTTCTCTCCTGTCCAATAATAATAATAATAATAATAATAATAATAATAATAATAATAATAATAATAATACATAATAATAATAATAATAATAATACATAATAATAATAATAATAATAATAAACTGGAAATTAAGTGAAAATGAATCTTTTAAAGTACCATTATAAATACAGAAACAGACATATTTGGTATCAAGTAACGACACAGTACCAAGGGCAGATACAGGAGGATCGTATTGCCCTACCATCTTCTACGTTTGGACTACCCCTTCTGAAAATCCTGGATCTGCCCCTGAGTACCACTACAAAATTACTGCACACTGTGGGAACACTACAAGCAGCTCCCTCAAGACACCTCCCTCCACTGTAAAACTCTCTTCCCAAAGCCCCATGTGAGACTGAGGGAGTTAAAGGCATCTAGTATCTAATATAACCTTTACAATCTTGAAATTATAAGTTTCTGACCTAAAATCTACCTTCCTAAAACCAAAACTGAAGTCCTCTTGCCTTTTTTAGCCTGACTTATCTCGTTACATCCAGCAGGACGGACAGTACTTGTGAGGGCAATAATAGATCATAAGAGGTGTATGAATGCCAACACAAATAATCCATTCTATCATCTTCCTGCTGAACTTCCCCTTCCTAACTTCACTATCATAACTCACTCGTTGACAGAACAATTCAAATGTAATTCTCAATTTTACAGATGTATAGAGCCTACTACCTCAAGTTATCTCTTTCAACAACAAAAAATGGCTTTTGAGAATTGTTCATCATAATGGTTTTCACCTAACTAATCCAGGTAACAATGTTCCTAAGCCCCCTGAAGTGAACCCCAAGAATATAACCTCCTGTTCTCTGGTGGTGTCTCGCCTCAGTAACAAAAAATTTAATAATTCATACCTCATCAATAGCTGTATACTGTAATGTACTGTGTAGGATATACTGTATAGGACCTACCATGCCATCATCACCCTAAAGCAGGAAAATAATTCAGGCAGACTGTAAGTAATTCCTTTAACAACTGCATTTTACTTCTCCCCTCCAAAGGGCCATTCACTGTTGCCACAATACATTTACAGCACACATACAGTATATAAATGGTGCATCACATCAAGAGTAAGACTCACCCTCAACTTGTGACTCATGTTTCTGAGTTGTGAGTCAATCTGGTCACCGTGGACGCATTCTCTGGAGCCATTCTCTTGAGTCTTTCTCAGGCTACCTGCACCCTGTGATACAAAGAACCATCACAGTATTGTATAGTTCAAAGGAGGATTTATAAAGTACTCAGAAAATACTGTTAAACTACTAACAAGAACCTCACAAATTAATTTAAACTAAGCCTCAAATTATACCCATCTGTACTCCACCACACAACACCCACCTGTACTCCACCATTATAGAGTGGCTGGCTAGTGGTAGACAGGTTAGGGACTGATAATTTCCGTTGGCTAGTGAAAGGCTGTGTTGATGGGGTGACTCGCTGTGCTGTGTTCACTATTTGTTCACTAGTTGATATTGGGATTTCATTCTGTTAAAATTAATACAGTTTATCAGTAAATACAGAAATTAATAGTTAATACAGTACGGTATATACGTACAGTACAGTACAAGTGATCGTGGGCCCTTCGTGCCCGGTAAAAGTTTGAACGCTCGTGCTTGGCTAGCGCGCAACCGCCATCCGGCTGACAGCGTACCGCGACAAAATGGTTAATTAATGCCTTCCTAAAGAAACCATCGACATGGGACCAGGTTTGTTCCACTCTACGAATTTTTTGCGATTTTTCCACCAAGTTTGATGAAAAACCTTTGTGCCGTTTCGGCTGCCCAGAACAGACACACGGCTATTCCTACAGTACAGTATATTAAAATAAAGAATATAAACAGTAACTACACGTATTCACCCAAGCAGCTAATAATTGATAAGTGGATATAATTTCTTATGGAGTGTGTGTAAAGTGGGTAGAGATGTATGACAGGTATTTCTAGTTACAATTTCTTTTATGGTAAAGAATTCTTGCTTCAAAATTGTCTACAGAATTAAAATTCATTATTTTTAACCCCTTGTGTACGGGAGGTCTCTCTGTGCCGAATAAAATCATCTGGCATCAGCCAATTAAAATTTTAAAAGCGGTTCCCCAGAGTAAAAACACCAGTTTAATTTTCTATTGTCAATAATTATGTGAATTTCAAATACTGTCCAGTACAGTAGAGTAATTCCTTATAGTGTATAATGTGCAGACTACAGCAGAGATGTTTGGTGAGAAGCTTAATACACCTGTACTGTATCTGTCAAACATGTTGTGAAACAAGTGGTTTCATACTGAATACCTTACATACAGTATCAATACTTTACGAGAAAATGAAGGTAAACGGTTGACATTCAGTACAGGTGTTATAAATATTACAGTATTATATCATATCAATGCAGGTTATCAATTTTTTTTATTACCATAACTAAAAGAGTAACAGCACACACACACACACCTGCCATGGTCTGTTTGTAGCAGAGGATCTACGTACACTGACTCCATCATCCATCCTCATGCTGGTCACACTGCCTGCTGGGCTGGGTGCTCGTAGCAGTGTTGGCAGTGTGTGGCAGAACGGACACTTGCCATGACCTGACTGCCGGAGTTTGATGAGGCAGTCCCTGCAGAAGGCATGGCCACAACCAATAACAATGGCCTCTCGGGATGTGATGTATTCCCTGTAGCACGCTGGACAATAACCTTCCATGGTGGATGGTCTTCTCCTGGGTAATGCACGGTAAATGTTTCTGATAATTGTAAAAAAAAGGAATTATTATTCTTTATAAACTGCTTTACAATACTGTACAAGACAGAGAGACAAATCACCATTATCAATTACAAAATCTCTCCTTGTTGGGTCAATATCTTACAACTTAACACACTTAAGCCAAGGATGCCAAAAGGGCTTGATTTATAATTATTGTACGTGTAATACTTCTCCATTATCTCTGTATGAAACATATACCATTACAGTATAGTACAGTACAGTACAGTATAAACATAGCTAATACAACACATAGAAATATCTATACAATATTAACTTGTTGACAATGTTACAATAAAGTACTGGTCAGATTCTTGTACATTGCTGTACAGTATATAACAGGAAACATTCCAGTAACATTTTTGTACTGTACTGTGTGATAGGAAGTACAGTACTGTATAAACAGCCACTTCTCCACAACACACCGTTAACACCCAGGACTGCTACCAACAAGCAGCTACCTGATACTGTACACAGATACCCAGTCTGCAAGTACCATACACCCCCCGTCCCACCTCACCGGAACAGTACCAAAAACTACCAAATTACCCTCACCTGGTGGCCGGTCCCTGGTTGACTGGGTATGTGGACAGATACGAGTAGACGGGGTAGAGGTGTAGTGTGTTATCTATTGATAGGGACCAGTGATAACCCAAACAGATCCTGATAACCAACATGCATAGTGAACTCTATCTGTTGTCTTAGACTCTTTATAAATGTTCAGTAAATCCTTTGTTACTGTACACTGAACACCACTGAAATTGATGGTGAAAAAATATGTACAGTTGTTTGGTGGATGAAGCATAAACAGAAATATAAATGATAGATCTGATGAATGATTGAGAGGCATGGATGATAGATTGATATAGTGATGGTAGCTATACAAATATTTGGATGATTTCTAGATAGATAAAAGATATATAGATGGGTGAATAATAAGACATATAATTCCTCCTTGATACAAAGATGGATGATTGATGGATGGATGATAGAGATACAATACACGGATGACTGATATAATTATCCAAATGACCGAACAAACAAAAAGACACAGAGATGGATGATACTGTACTGAGATTAAAGACTGGCAGGTATATGGATGAGATAGATAGGTAAGGGATAGAGATGGAGAGATGAACGATAGATAGACACAGACGATGATAAGGCATAAAGATGATAGATGGATAAATAGCTGCACAGAGACAACACAGAATGATGAGTTGAAGATATTTTTCACAGTGATAAATAGATAAATGAGTTAGATAATAAAGCACAATCAAGAAAAATTATCAGTACGAAATTCCTGAAACTACCTCACAACGACCATCTTGGGGGTGAGGTGATAACAGGGCTTTATTTCTCCGTCACTCTTAAGACGCTGTGGCTCGCGGAGAATTACCATGACGATCTTTATCACAGTTTGTAACCTTGATCCTGTGTGTGTGAGAGTGAGAGAGTGAGTGAGCATGTGTGTGTGTGTGTGTGTGTGTGTGTCTGTGTGTGTGTGTTTTAAGTCATTTCCAGCACTAAACAAACCACCAAATTACAGATTACGTACTGCCAAATCACACACACGTACTTAAACACCCTCACATATCAGTCAAGGTGTGGTGTGGTGGCAGGTACAGTACAGTATTTGTCCATCAACTTACAACAGAGGCGACCCTGCCAGTGGGTGGTGAAGCCCCGGCTGTTGATCCCCGGCTGTAAATACTGGAGGCGTTTTACAACTCTGGGTTTAGGATGGAATTTACACGTTATGTCTTCTTATACAGGTGTGTGTGTGTGTGTGTGTGTGTGTGTGTGTGTGTGTCTGTGTGTCTGTGTGTGTGTGTGTGTCTGTGTGTGTGTATGGTATGGTGTGTGTGTGTGTCTGTGTGTATGGTATGGTGTGTGTCTGTCTGTGTGTATGGTATGGTGTGTGTGTGTGTGTGTGTGTGTGTGTCTGTGGTATGGTGTGTGTGTGTGTGTGTGTGTGTGTGTGTGTGTGTCTGTGTGTGTGTGTGTTTGTAATGAAAAAACAAATTACCACACAGAAGATTACTGTCTCATCAGTGCATCATTTAACTACATTCATGATTTAAGAAACAAGTTCTCTTCTATAAATAAATTCACCTAAAATAGTTCCTCCCCTCAGACTGTTGTGTTGATGGCTGTACAGCAGCTCCACACACCTACAGTAATAAAACAATGACTTATTAATTGTTGGTCAATATGAGAAACAAACCAGTGAGTGATAACAGCTTTCCTTATTGTCAAGTATAAAAACTGGAAGACGATTCTTTTTATTTCTCAACATTTTTAGTGGTTGTCTAAACATGATGATGATATACTGTCCTTGATGCTACAGTAAACATTTATTGATGAAGATACTGTATATAGAATGAAGGTATAGAGAAGATACTGTATATAGAATGAAGGTATAGAGAAGATATATCAATGAATAGTTAATCTAGACAAACTTAATAAAGATAAACCTGTATTTAATGAACATATATAAAATGATGTCTTGTGTGAAAATATGAACAATGATTGTGAGTTACAAGAATTAATTCGTATAAGGACATCAATTTCCTGTCAATTATGAGTCAATTAATGAGTTACTGAAAAATATTCCTCATAACTGGTGATAATAATATGACCTTCACAAATTTTTCAGCATTATTAAACAACTTTTAGAAGTATATGTGGGTGTGTTTTATTGTTGTTGTGTTATTATTAAGGTTTATGGCTGGTATTAGTAAGTGTAAATACTGTAGTAAGCAAAGGAAGGAAGGAGGTATTAGTAAGTTTAAGTACTGTAGTTAATCAGACCATTGTGTGAAGTTTACAGGGGCCAGGACAGTAATAGTTGAGAGATACTGACTTATCATATACTGTATCATGTCTGCTTGTACACATTCATTACTGGTTCATGCACAGTATATGACCAGTATTTATCTGTGTATATAATCAGTATGCAGTACAGTATATGACCAGTACAGTATACTTATCTGTGTATGTATACAGTACAGTACCGTATACTCTAAATTGTATACAGTACCTGTATTTTGTACTGTATATACAGACTGAATTAATGTAAACTTGTACAGTATGACGACTTTGCTGAATAAATGTCTACGGTATATATATATCTATCCATCAACACCTTTATACACCACACCTCAGTGAGTATTGAAACCAAGTCACAGGAATGAAAGGTACACTTCCTGCCTGTACAACTGACTGTAAACTAACATTCAAAATTATACATTAACATAAATAAATATACTTAAATAAATAATTCACAAACTGATAAATGTAACATTGATAAAATTAGTATAATCTTTGCTAATATCCTCAAAAGAACTCTAATGCATAAAGTGTAGATTAAATTAGGGAAGCAGCATATGAGTAATATCTTATCAGCACCAATACATTTTTGTTTGTACAGGTAACAGTTATTTAACAATTCTTATCAACATTAACAGAGCCCAAAATTAACTCACAACATGCAGGTACAGTCTCATGTTTCTGTAAAAAAGATAATTGTGATCCTATTATCTTAACATTCCTGTATTGCATAATACAGTACTAATACTGAACCATATGTCATTTTCATATTCAACCGAATAATTTTTTGTCTCGGCTAAATATTAAGAAAAGAGAAACTTAATTAAAAAGAGTTAAGTAAATAAAAAAAAAAATAGGTACCATTAGTTACCATCACAAGAGCATCATCTGTAAGTCAGCAGAAGTACGGCTGCTCCCGAGGACACACTATTGAGAGATACAGCACCTCAACACTACGACCCTTCCCGATACCTGTCTTGTCACTTAATATATCATTGACTTATTGTAGTTTAAAAGTTGTATAAGTAGCAGACATTCTCTTACAAGTAATACAGTAACGGATACAGCAGTCATCACATTACTATAATTATACAGTAATAAAACTTCTCCTTGGTTCTGTTGTTTGATGTCACTCAGGTATTAATTACTTTCTTTATTAATGATTTATTATAAATTGTAAGCTCTTCCCCACTTCAGTGTTTGATGACTGAAGGAAGGACCCACACAGAATTAATAACTTTTTGTCATTTATTTATTCTTGCATCTGTAGTCATAGTAAGCTTTCTTTTGGTGTTGTAATCTCACACCAAGGTCTCAAAATTTCCACCTGGATTACTTGTCTCTTATATAACCCAACATCATGTAGCAGTGAATCCTTCCCTGTACACCATTCACTACAGGTGGCATGTTTTCTGGTCCAACACCCACACTACTGTATACTACTAACTGTACATCACTTCTCCTGTACCCCCTTCACCCTTTCCTCTCACCACCTTCTTAGTCTTCCTCACTCTCCTACCATCCATGTCTGAACAGTATTATACTTTACACACATTGTTCTGTCATCTTTGGCATGACAAAACATTACAATATTGTGTATTAAGTTATGGTGAGGGTTCGGATTATCATACTGTTATGTACAAAAACAGTACAGCACAGTATACTCTTTATAAAACAAACCAAAATTGGTCATAATTGAATAACATGATAGAACTAATTGTAGTGATATTCCCAACAGCATTTCTTTCAGTTTAAGTGAAAAAAAAATCAAAACATGAACCTTGCACAATATTTTATTACAAAACTTCCAACATATTTGAGTTTAAGGTTCTGTACAGTCTCTCCTATAATTTGTTAAACATATATAACTTATTTACATTTTCTTTCCCAAATGACAGGTGCACATGTACGGTCAAACATACATTCATTCTGAGTGAAGGTGTGTACTGTACAGAACACCCTCTTGTTATAAAGTTGCACTACAACGATCACTAATAAGAATTAAATGATTTTAGTAAACCATGAAATAGTTATGTAGCAAACACTGTCATGTAGATTCTCAAGTGGTTGACTTTTCTTTATTCTCTACAGGGCTGAAGTATTCAGAGTAGTCATATTCATGGAAAGGAACATCGTAAGTCAACAGGCCGTAGTCACGAGCTTTTTCCACCGCCACTTGGAGCTCTCTGTGTCGATTCCGACATAAATGTGTTTTTCTGTAAAAAAAAAAAAAGTTGCTATAAGTGAATCCCTTCCATCACACAAACACTGGAAAACAATTAATACAAAAAAGATATGAACATATGAGGAAAGAATAAAGCATTCAACCAATTACCATCTTCCAGTACTTCTGTGGGATCTTGCCACTTGTCTAACAACCCTACTACAAAAGTACTTCCTCCCTTTGTTAATTTGCTGTAGTACAATAGATACCAATATTTTATGTTTCAGTGACCTCCAAAAGAGTAGAATTTGTATAGTTTTAACATGGAGAAAAGCTGAGATCTTGTATACTGAAGACAACAGTATGTGTGTACGTGTGTACCATAGAAAGTAATCATTCAAATGTTTTTCATCGTGAGTTACAACATTTAAAAGGTTCAGCCATATCACTAAAGTTGTCACAATATAATTCACATCTGTAACTTTCAGAGTATTTTTTCCACTCAATTCAATGTGCTTCATATTAACCACAAAACAATATCATCTTTTCCAACTTACATCAACCTGAGAAAGAAGGCAGAAAGGAGAGTTCATAGAGCAGCTAACTTGATGACTGTAATATGTACTGTAATTAGTTATAGAGAATGTAGATAAGGCTGTTGAACTATATATGTAGTGACTCAGTACAAGTAGCAACCCTCTGAGTGGACAAATCATACCCACTTGTGAGGTCAGCCATGGCAGTCCTTCCACCACCACCATCCAGCAATGATGAAAATACTAACACTGTACTGTAATAAATTAAAAAAATATACTTGGAAGATGTGTACAAGTATCCTACAGTATAATTGTAGACCAGACAAGATCCACCCGAGGTATATATAAATAATACTGTAGGAATAAAATTAACAATATAAAGGTTAAGTAATGTGTTAGTTCAAGTTGAGACAAAGTTTAGTTGGGTATATTTAGGTAGATTAAGTTTGGTTAGGCTGGTTGGATAATCTTTGGTTAGGTAAGCCTGGTTATATTTAATTACAGTAGTTTATGCTGGTTAGGTTAGGTTGGTAATGTTTGATTAGGTCTGACTGATTTAAGTTAGGGCAGTTAGATTAAGCCGATAAGGTTAGGTTAGTTAGATTAGACTATATTCAGCATGGTTTGGTTAGGTTAAGTTTGTTTATATTTCATGTGATTAAGTTAAATTAGGTGGGGGGTTAGATTAAACTATGTCTGATGTGGTTAAGTTAATCAGGCAAAGAAACACACCACACACACACTTACTGAACAGGAAGAACGGCGCCATTATGGGGAGAAATAAACTGATTCAACAGGTCAACGTTACGGTAGTCCAGCACCAGGTACTCGTCCCGGCATATTGGACAAGGATTACCCGTGGTGATCACCTTCGCACGCTGTAAAATCACAACACAACAAATATAACATTGTCTTGTATTTAAATCTTTGGATCACCTAAAGATTAGCCAACCACAAACTTTTTCGTCTGATGATTAAACACTCAAATGGTGCCCGGGGAGTAGGGTTAGGTTAGGTTGGATTGGGTAAATGTTAGGGTGGTTAATCCCCACGTGAAACAAGCTGGGGGCTAATCTTCAGATGATATAATTTTTTCCCAGTAAGATGTAGGACAGTTGGAATCAAGAACCAACACACAGTACGGTACTTGGTGATGATGGCTTTCAGAAAATTAACGAGCCCTCTGAGAGTTAGGTTACGTATAAGTGAAACGATCTTATCAACAAACACTTACTATGCAAGTCTTTCTAGTTGTTTGTGGAGGAAAACCACCTTTAAAATTTCTTCTGTACCTCTTCCACACTGGATCAGATCCATAAGTTGTCTGGTATGCTGAAAGTAAGGGAAATATATGAGAGAGGTCAAGAGGCGTGCCGTTTATGACATCATCATTTGACCTCAGACCATCTAGCCAGGCAGACAAGAGTTGTAGCGGCGTGGTCACTACAATGACTAATTTTAAAGTGATCCTAAAATATTCATCTAAATCCATCTATTTTATACAGTACAGTCCTTCTAAACAAGGCCGAGTGTACAGAGATATGCAACGGTTACAATTTACATACAGTAAGAACAAAGTGAACATGAGATGAACCAAGACAAATCTTACCCTGAGTCTTCATATACTTCACGCTGACCTCAACCGGGACCACTTTAGAGCGGTCCTTGGCCGGATCAACCTGTTTCTTGGCCTCCTCTCCGTCAGTGACCTCACACAAGAGCCTCGCGCTGGTCACTATACCACACCTAGCCTGGGCCACACCACTCATCTGTAACATTAACCACAGCTCATGTCAAGGTCAGCAGTTAGTGAGAATTGGATCATGTTTTTAGCGTCATTGTTAAGAGGAAATATTGCCAAGGGAAGACTCTCAAACTACTACATGGGGAGAGACTGGAGACATGGGGAGAGACTGGAGACATGGGGAGAGACTGGAGACATGGGGAGAGACTGGAGACATGGGGAGAGACTGGAGACATGGGGAGAGACTGGAGACATGGGGAGAGACTAGAGACATGGGGAGAGACTGGAGACATGGGGAGAGACTGGAGACATAGAGAGAGACTGGAGACATGGGGAGAGACTGGAGACAAGGGGAGAGACTGGAGACATCACACAATACCTGTAATAATGTTGGTTTTCTCACAATATCTGGCCATGACGCCCTAAGACCCGGTGTGAGCAGCGGCCGGAGGAACATAGTGGGTGGTGTTTACGTGAGGAAGAAAGGATCCGACACCACATACCTGATGATCCTTTATCCGTGACCAGGAAGAGGATCTAACTCCCTCTATCACAACACTGGCAACTGGAACCTCTATATGAGCGATGAAGGGAGAGTGGAAATAAAACTATTACTAAATTTAACTAATATGTTTATAAATAAGAAAAAATAATTAAAATTTATTATTTATTGAAGTTAGTATTATTATTATTTTTATTAAAGGTAAATAAAATATAAGTTGTTGATAGATAGAGTATAAAGGAAGCGCCGTCAGCTCCGCGCCCCTTCACAGCTCATAGTCCTCTCTCTCGGAGCTGATGAACAGGGCTTCTATTACCAGGATTTTTTAAAATGTGAATTCTTAGGTTTAGAGAGTGTTGTATGTATCGTTGTTGTTAATAAATATACCCCAGCACACAGAGGACACGGATATACAGAGTGGATACTGCAAAATATCCAAATAAGATTGATGGAGGTGGATGAAGTTTGTGGGGTAGCATCTGGGCGGAGGGAAATGGCTACCTGGCACACATAACTGCGCCACTACCTCAAGTGTCAAGTGTTGAAGTGTGTAAGTGTCGAGGGCGAGGTGACAGTGACCCAAGGTGCGGGGGGTTAGAGGGGGACACACATCAAGATGGACACACCGTCAACCAGCACCACCACCCCGGCCACCACCACCAACAACCAGAAGGTAGATGATCTCACACCCTCTTGGTCGTGGCCATTTTGTGTTCTCTATTATATATTACTTTAAGTTTATCTCTTCTCACTATGTATTAATGATCCTTACCTCTATTATTCCTCCTTAGGTTATTCACTTCACTAGATGGAGGTGTTAATAAGTTGTTAGATCATTAAAATATGTTACTTAATATTGTGTAATAGTTACCGGCTGGTGTTCCTGTTCCTTCATATTATTGTTACTTAATACTTTAGTGTGTAAAGTAGCTGCTCCAGGTAGTACATCAGGTAGTTGTGGCCTCAGTGATCGATACTTTATTTATTGTAATATATTAACAAAAACCTAATATTTATTATATGTCTCTGGTTAAGGAAGAATAATTGTAAAGTATAGCATTATTTTGATCACATAGGATATATGTATGGGTTGTGTGGCTAATGGAACGCGAGGGTTAGGTTAGGTTAGTCAGAAAGCGTCAAAAGTTTACCGTCGCCTCAAGGTTCGTCCCGGTCTATTGTACCGGGAGATTACCCGCTAAATTTATTTCAGTCGTCCGGTGATGAATATTGAGAATTTTATGGTTGCGATCGATAGTTGGGATAATTTCACGACATGTTTCCTCTATGACATTTCCCTCGCAAATAAATATACCGGGATGGTTAGGTTAGGTAGTATTAGGTCATTTGTGAGGGCAACGTCACAGCAGAAAAGTGTCGTAAAATTGTCTAAACTGTCGGAAAATCACTACTCGAGAGCTGTGATTCGTCTAGATAACCAATTGTCGGATGTGTCTTAATATTGTCTAGATATTATTTTAGCTTTGGTCAACCGGGGAATCTTTAAAAATTTAGGTTACAATAGGTTAGGTTAGGTTAGGTTTGGATATTAATACATGGATGACCGTAACTAAAATTTTACCTTCTAAACTACCGATCGCAACCATAAAATTAAAAAAATTCAAGGTAAAATTTTAGCTATGGTCATCCCTGTATTTTGATATCCAAACCTGCCTAACCAAACCTAACCTAACCACAGAACCCAAGAACTACTGATACAAGAATACCTGACCTAAATTCTTAAGATTCCCCAGATGACTGAAACTAAAATAATACCAAATTCAGTTATGGGTTAAGCTGAAATGACAATGGTGAGGTGTGACACTGAAATACAGGAAGCCATGTTCAGAGCTAAGAGGGTGGCTAGGTATCAAGATGGTTTGGTTGAGGTGGAGAACCAGGGACATGCCAAGAATGACATGGGGAGACGGGTGTAAGAAATAACCTGATGAGAGAGACAGCAAGAGATCGCTGTACCACCAGGGTTCTTGTGCTTTCATCATTGACTTTATGCTATAGTTAGTCTACATATTAGTGACTCCAAATATTTTCATTTGCATGTCTTAAGCTCACTGTTGTTTGTATTGTACAGTACAGTCAACAGCAGAAGTTCATCCCCGCTGACCTGCTTGACACGAGGCAGGTGATCTGTTAACACTATGGGGAAGAGTCAACAGATACGCTTTAAATGGCTAATCATTTAAGATTGGCGATTGTCTACAAATACATTCCTTGTATGTAACTTGATTAGTATCAGTGTGTAAAATGTGGAGAAATAATGTTATTGAGAAATATTATGACCTTGCTGCAGGATGATTCACAACTGGGGATCCAGACTTTTTTTTTTATGGGTAATAGCCCACCCGGGCACAGGTCATCAACCCACAACAGGGCCTAGGGGGTGAAAAAGAAGAGTACTGTACGTAAAAAGAAATTGAAAATAGAAACGAAAAAGATTATATATTAATTTACACCACGAAGATGCCGGAAAACCACCTTTTTGAAGCGAGACAGATTGTGTGAGTGTAGAAATTCAGAAGAAGGCAGAGCATTTCACAGTTTGGCTGTGTGAAGAAAGAAGGACGTACTATAATGGGTTATTCTAGTGTGACCGGTATCGACACAGAAACGGTGGGCACCGCGGGCAAGACGAGTGTTACGAGCCCACGGCCTTGCCGGCGGTACACAGGATGCCAAATGCACCGAACATTGCCCGTTAAAGTACCTGTAAAAGAGAGAGAGTGAAGCAACATTGTGGCAAAGAGAAAGGGAAGAAAGATTATTAACTAAAGGAGGAGAGTCAATAAGACAATATGCCTTTGATTCCACCCTATCTAACGGTTGGACAGAGGAAGAGCCACCCCAGATATGAGAGCAGTACTCCAAGTTGGGACAAATAAATCCCTTGCATACCTGAAGCAACTGCTCAGGAGTGAAGTAGCTATGGAATCTGTACATGCCAACAAGTATTTTTCATGCTTAATGACACATTCATTATATAGCAATTTCAGAACTAAATCTGAAGCTGCAAGGAAACATTACATAATACTGTAGCTACCATAAGTGACCTGTACTTAAAACGAAAATATATATTGACAGTGCGTGTTTCTAGGATGGAAGCTCTGTATATAACTTAAAATACAGTACAGTACTGTAACTGAATACCAAATTCATTACCACAGAAAACAGTATAACTACTGTATTTTAGTTTTGGGGGGTCGGTAGATATAGAGTTCCTGGGTTCTGTGGCTGGGTTAGGTTGGTTACATTAGGTTAGGTGGATATCTAAATACAGGGATGACCAAAACTATAATTTTACCTAGAAAACATCACAATGATCTCACTAAATGTAAATCATTAACTGTGACAACAATGACTTTAGTTGATAGAAAGAGAAACTCCTAATTAATACTGTCGTAAGTTGTCTTTGTACCTTCCTGTGGTTAGGTCCAGATTTAAATTGAGAATTATTAGATTGGTGGCGGTGGTGAGGTTTTAAGTACTCCACTGGACTGTATTGGTTGGTGTTGTGTCTCCAGCTATTGTGAGGCACGAAGAGCAGTACAGTAATTGACAACAGGAACAAAATATCTCCACCTGTTAATTGTTGGCCTTGGGTAGTCAACTATCTGTACTAATTAATTACATTACTAACAGCAAATACTGTACATACATACTTCACCGTACAGCTATCCTTCACTTAACAAATGTTTGAGATGCAACAATTCACTTAGCTACCGGTATGTGAATTTCCTATACTAACACCTTTTTTCATTTAACGAAAGCTTTCCCTGCTTTTATGAATTTGGGTGTCACTGAGAGAGAGTCAGTTGGGGAATGGGTAAAGAGGGGTAGAGGCGTATTTTTGCTCAATGATCATAAACTTCACCCCTTCCCCCCCCCCAGTCCATGTCTTTCATTTCACCATTCCCCACCCCTTGTGGTGAGCCCTGACTGCCCTCCCTTATGGTAATCACTCCCATCATTCATTTGTTTTAATTCACAGCTGAGGGTTAACTGTTTCACATAACATCGCTGGTGGCATTATTACCAAGTTAGACTCGTTACTGTAGTCACCTCCCCTAACCTTCTTGCTGCCAGGCCGAGCTGTAAGCTACACTATGGTTATTATTCAACTTGTAATTACGGGTAGATTTTTATTTCAATATACAGTACCTATATATATACAGTATATATTTTTGTCTTAATATTTTTTATTCAATCACATGTACACACAATCCTTCATAATAAATGTTAAAAGGGTAAACTAAATAAGTATCATAAGGTCAGAAGCATAAAGGGAATAAACACTTGTGTGTGTGTAAGAGTTAGCACACTGAGGGAGGGAGGCAGTGTTCCAGCTGGGCTGAGTTACTATGGTGAGCACTGAGGCTCTGTCTTATGCAAATGGCAGTTGTTTTAATCTTTCATTTAGCTTTTTCTTAACCCTTAAAGCCCGGGTGACATTCCTCTACTTCCTTAATTTTCGCATCATAGTTTCAATGTCCAGGCGGGACGAATTTCTTTGTATAGGATATTTATTTGCTTGCCAATTCAACTTGGGCTTCTCATAACCCGCTTTGCTCCTCTACTCCCTTGACAGTTAGTGCTGTTCATCAAGAGTTGCGTGATTCGGGCGTTATTGATACAGTGATGACAGTACTTTTGGGGTGACTGCACTATTTTATGCCTCAAGTGCTTGTGTTTGTCAGCGTGGGTCTGGCGGGTCTTATACGGGTTAATGGGTTTGGCAGCATATTTTCATCGTCAATATTTTATTAATGTTTTTAATATGTTCGGTACTGTAGTAAATTACTGTACAGTACAGTAGGTGGGTATTAGTTTTCATTAGTTTGGTTGGTGTTTGTTTATGAACCAATTTCAAGGTTTTTTTTGGGGGGGGTACTGTATAATACTGTACACTACACAATTGGCGTTGTCTTGTCATTGGGGAACTGAATCCTATTTGTCCTCATTGTTCTGTTATTTGAGATGAAAATTCACAAAATAAATGATTTTCCAGGCACCCAATTCACTCGTTAGGTGAGGGACACCTGTATACTGTACAGTAGTCGGTGGTTCAGTTCTCTTAATATTATATCCCTATACACACACACACTTTTTGCCCTTTAACAATGGTCGTCTGAACTGTTTGGCTGACTGCCCAGATGATGGGTTTTGGGTTGAGAAAAAATCCTCATTTTATTTTTGTGAGAATAGTTGAATTTCATATCGTCGTTATTTATAATTAACAGTCTTACCGAGCTTGGTTTTTTTTATTCATTTCCCTTTATTTGTTGTAGGAAAATGAAGGTCTGAGTGTGCATGGGGGAACAGTACAGTAACTATGGTAATCTTCGGCATAATCTGGTGGTCAATAATTCTCACTTCCCGACCAATGTTTGTTTGGTAACATTTTAAATTGTGTGCCTCAGACAAATTCCCACACATGGTAGGCTGGCCAGGGACCCAAATAATCCTGCACAATCATTTAATTCCCAGTGTTAGACCTGTGGCTCTCAAGCAGGGTTGGCACGATTTAAAACGGCAATTTTTGATGCATTGAAGATTCATAAATAAATACAGTATTGTCATTTTACCGCTTACATTTTTAACACGTCTTCAACCTTCATAATAACAAAACACTGACTTAAAATTACAGCGGTGACGAGA